GCTTTCTTTCTTTCTTTCATTCTTGAATTCTTTCTTTCTTTCTTTATTTCTTTCTTTCTTTCTTTCTTTCTTGCTTTCTTTCTTGCTTTCTTTATTTCTTTCTTTCTTGCATTCGTTCTTTCTTTCTTTCTTTATTTATTGCAGTCTTTCTTTCTTTCTTTCTTTCTTGCTTTCTTTCTTGCTTTATTTCTCTCTCTCTCTCTCTCTTTCTTTCTCTCTCTCTCTCCCTCTCTCTCTTTCTTTCTTTCTTTCTTTCTTTCTCTCTCTCTCTCTCTCTTTCGTTCTTTCTTTCTTTCTTTCTTTCTTTCTCTCTCTCTCTCTCTTTCTTTATTTCTTTCTTGCTTTCTTTCTTTCTTTCTTGCTTTCTTTCTTTCTTTCTTGCTTTCTTTCTTTCTTGCTTTCTTTCTTGCTTTCTTTCTTGCTATCTGTCTTTCTTTCTTGCTTTCTTTCTTGCTTTCTTTCTTGCTTTCTTTCCTGCTTTCTTTCTTTCTTGCTTTCTTTCTTGCTTGTTTTATTTCTTTCTTGCTTTCTTTCTTTCTTTCTTTCTTGCTTTCTTTCTTGCTTTCTTTCTTTCTTGCTTTCTTTCTTGCTTTCTTTCTTGCTTTCTTTCTTGCTTTCTTTCTCTCTCTCTCTCTCTTTCTTTCTTTCTTTCTTTCTCTCTCTCTCTCTCTTTCTTTATTTCTTTCTTTCTTTCTCTCTCTCTCTCTCTCTTTATTTCTTTCTTTCTTGCTTGCTTTCTTTCTTTCTTTCTTTCTTTCTTTCTTTCTTGCTATCTGTCTTTCTTTCTTTCTTGCTTTCTTGCTTTCTTTCTTGCTTTCTTTCTTGCTTTCTTTCTTTCTTGCTTTCTTTCTTGCTTTCTTTCTTTCTTGCTTTCTTTCTTGATTTCTTTCTTTCTTTCTTGCTTTCTTTCTTTCTTTCTTTCTTTCTCTCTCTCTCTCTCTTTCTTTATTTCTTTCTTGCTTTCTTTCTTTCTTTCTTTCTTGCTTTCTTTCTTGCTTTCTTTCTTTCTTGCTTGCTTTCTTTCTTTCTTTCTTGCTTTCTTTCTTGCTTTCTTTCTTTCTTGCTTTCTTTCTTTCTTTCTTTCTTGCTTTCTTTCTCTTTCTCTCTCTATCTCTCCAGAGGCCCCTTCGCGTTTCAACTCCATCAGGGGCTCCATTCCATTGCCGCTATTCCACCCCAAGAAGGAGAAGGAACAAAAGGAAGCTAAGAAAGCCCAGGCCTTTCTTGTCGCCATTAGTCCCCTTCCCTTGGCAAGTTTGCGGCCTTGACAGCCGTAGGAGTTCTTGCAAGCTTTCATATCTCCAAGACTTGGCTCCAGCGGGAACGCCCAAAAATGCGATGTTCAGACTCCACGTCAGACTTAGCTTAACCTAAAAAAATGAATGAGTTTTGAGGAGACGCTAGAAGGATGGGCGAAGAAAGCCCTTCACACAAGGAAGCTTACAGGGGTCCAACCAGTTTTCCAGCAGACTACGGGTGAGATACGGGCATGGGGGCGTCTGTTTCGTTTCGGACGCCGGGCGCCCCCTCATTCAAGACAAGCCCCTGCGTGGTGTGAAGCCACAGGATATCGACACATGACCATGTTTGCCTGCAGGGAAAAGCGTCCAGTTTTTAGGTGTCGGACTTTAATCACACCCTCTCCAATCCACCCCAGCCCCTTTCAAGCAACCCTTCCAAGCACCCACACACACACACAAATAAAAGAAAAAACACCAGCCCACGGGCACAGCCCATATGCCTTCCAAGGGACATTCTTAGGGCTCTCAACCATCTCGGACATAGGCAGCGAGCTCATGGTCCGTCGTGGGCTGCGGCAACGCTCCATCTTCACCAGCAATTCGAGCTCTGTGTCCTTGTCGAAGGGTCACACGGTCAGGCACTGGGTGGTGTGTCGATTTAATTAATGCCAAACGTTCAACATTTTAGCAAACTATATTTTATTTCTTTTTAGGGGGGCCCTTGCGGAAGTTTGAAAGGAGAACCACAAGGAACAAATCTGTGGGATTTGGCCAACTGCCTTGATGCCTGGGATTCAGCCGTGAAACAAGCGCGTCTCCTTGTGCCCAGGAAATCTGCTTGGGGGATCGCCGGTTTTTGGGCATTTCTGTAATGTTACCTTCGGATTCATCCGAAGGATCGTGCGAATCAGGGGTGGTCCCCGGTTTTTTGTGGGTCCCTATGACTAGAAGGATCCTGCGAATTCATCCGCATGGCGGGTGGCCCAATTGCTCTGGTAGGTTGGCCGCCAGGTGTTGACACACCCCATGGTTCTGTCATCAGAAACACTCGTAGAGAATTGGGAGGAAGGGGTTGGTGCTTTCCGGCTAGGGCTGAAACGCCAGCAACCCCCACAAGCTTATCTAAGGTTCTTTCTGTTCATTTGTTGTCACGCGCAAGACCATTAATCTCCTACTTGGCTTTGCATTCATCTCTTACTTGGCTTTGCTTTTGCTTTCAATAACGCTCGGAGAAGATATGTGCAATCTCGGAAACCAGAGATTGCAGCTTGACGACCTAGCATTCAAAATGCAAATTGGGTAGTAGGGTGTCTGCGGGTTGCCTGCGCCTTCCTCAAGAACTCCCAAGCTTGACACGAGCATTACTTTTCGGGGCCAGAGATTTTCGCTGCGCCCCCCTCAGGCCGACAGCAGCGCGATCCACCCAGGAAGACAGCGGCGACAGGCAAGCACCATATTGAGAACTCACAAAGCCCCCTGCCCCACCCCGAAACCTGTCTAATTCGAAAGTCAAGTGCAGCAATCTGTACGCACTAGGTCAAAAAAGGCAAAGCTACGACATGAGGCGTTTGACCAATTCTGCTCGCAGTGAAACCCTGCACTGCACAGCTTTCCCTACGGCTTACAAAAACCCTCGCGCTCCCCATTTGACATTGGCATATTCAGGGCCTTGTTGCAAACATGATGGAATGGCCGGAAAATCAGCACCACAGGCTGTGAATGCCAAAAAATAAAAAGGGGGTGCGGGGCGCGTGGCCTGTTCGGTGGCAAAATGCGGTTCTGTGCCACCTGTTCCTCCCCCACCCCCAGAAGAGAGTTGTTCGGTTGTTCGCGTTCGACACGCTTAAAAACAATTTCTCATCTACTAACGGCGCCCCGAACATCTGTGAGCATCTCTTATATATGTCTGTTTGAGCTTGATACAGACATCTTTACCGGTTTCAAGACAGACCCTATCGGAGTGAACACATCCCCCCGCCAAGCCGTCGTGGGCTGCCAAGGCACGCTCACGGCGCGGGCGCGCACAATTGGCTGACACTCCAAGAACTGGCAGCCTGACGTGGGCGGAAAGCCAATTTGAATTCCCCGCAGCTGCCTTGCTAACCCCCCCCCCCAAGACCATGCGAAAACCGCCTGGTAAACCCTCAATAAATCTCAGTAAGCCCCTAGCAACCCCCTTGAGTCCTTGTAATCCCAAGTGGTGGGAGAGGGTAGCTACGTGGCGAGAAAACTCTGCTAACCACCGGTACCGCCCGTAAATCGCTTGCAAAGCTGCGGGTTCCTAACCACTTAGCGGGTCCAGCCACAGTGTCTCAGGTTAAATGCTGGCCAATCGCAGAGAAAACACAAGCAGGTCAGAGGTCTTGGAGCCCCTCCACTTGGTCGCTATAAATTTGCATACTGAAAAACTACCAATAGTCGCTCCAACGACAATCCCAACATGAGTTGAAACGTAACGCTACACTGGCCTTCAACTCGCAATGGACAGTGAGACGGCCCCACCTGGGAAAGCAGGGCTCCTGCAACAAGATATCCACAGATACTCCTAACCAATCTCTACCCTATCTTGGTCAGTCTCACTGGCACCGCTTGAGACCAGCCACTCCGGAAGCCTGGCAATCAATGACCTGAAGCCTGAAATCAACTTGAGAGTTCGGGGAGGGGCCCCCGGCTTTTAATCACCCGCGATGCCCCGCGCCGCGGCTATCGGGCCCAAGGCCTGTACCCTCGAGCTTCAGGGGGAAGCTGCGGCCCCAGAAGCCGCGGAGCAGGTAGTGCCTGGCGGAAAGGGATGGCGGGGGAAAAGAAGAAGAAGAAAAAACCGTCTGCCTACAGAACAAGGGACTTCAACCTTTGAAGTTCTCATTTGAATATTTGCCACTACCACCAAGATCGGCACGAGAAGCTGTTTCGCTCAGGCCAAAGCTGCTTAACACTCCCTACGCAAGACTGTGATTCATAATGGCGGACAAAGATCGCTAGAAGTCGGGATGTTGGGAACCGATTGTATTTCAGAACTCGAGAGAAAAAAATACATGAAAGACCAACAAGGAAAATGCACACAGGCGAGCCGCATTCTGCCCCCCCCAGCATGAGTGCACCCATTTCCCGACCCCGAAAAGATCCGACATCTGCGGGGATGTGTGTGTTTTGGTTGGCTTCAACACACCAAGAAAGGAACCATAAAAGAGAGACACCTGTATCAAACAGCTGACAACATTAGTTGGGAGTGGTTGTTACCCATGAGAGCCCCTTACTAGGCACCCTGAAGTGCAGACATTGCAGACGAAGCAATATGCAAACTCGCATAAGGCCGGTTTAAACAAACAAGGACACCTGTGAAACACTCACTTCCGATCGAGCGCATTGGTCAGGAAAAGTTATATAACTTGTTGTTTACAACTAGAATGGTCCAAACCCAAAAGTATCAAGTTCATAGTCCATAGCCTCAGGGGGTGAGAACACTAAGGCACCCTTTTGGGGAGGACGTGGTCTCACGGTGAAGGCATCCACGATGTTGCGCCCTTGCGACTGGCAACATCGTAGGCTCAAAGATGGAGACTTCTCTGGTGCCGGGGTGTAAGCTGCACCATTCTCAGGGTCACAGCCATTCGATGTTGCGCCCTTGCGAATGGGGCACCAAAGGGTGATCGGCCAGGCACAAAATGGACAGCTCCCAAGTCAGCAGTGATCAGCTGTTGGTTGCAAGCAATCAAGCATCAGAGAGAAAAGTAGTAGTGCCCCCCTGACCCACAAAGTACTATCCGTGATTCTTGATGTCCATCTCAAATCACTACAGACATGGGTCGTCCCAACAGCAATGATTCTTTAATCCCGGATGAGCGCCCAACTAGGCCTGACTAGTGAGAAAGACACATTTTCGCTTTCCCCGAGTAGTTGACTTGGATTGGCGATTCCATCAACAGGAACCGGGGGTTCAAATCCCCAAACTGCCAATCCAAGCCACTAATTCAGGGGAACCTGACAATTGATGCGCGGTCGGAAAAACGAGGGTGCCAGGGGTTCCAAGTGAGCATGCCGGCCACCAAGCATGGCGTGGGCCATAAATCATGAACTGCCTTCCGTTGCTTCAAGCTTGGCAATCTGCTGATCACCGCAAATCAGCAATCCCCAAGCAAAGCCCGCGGGCCTCTCTGTGGTTCGCAGAACCACGCGGCCAGCAGCAGTGATGATGATGTTGTCCACCACCATGACGGTCCTCAAACACCACTGCAATGGCAATTCATTCAGCTCACACAAAGCCGCTGTCCGCAAACATACGCACAGTTCAACACCCATTAAGGTATCAACGAGCAATCCGAGCAGCTCACAATGGGCTGACATGGCTGACGCGATGACGGTGCTTTTGAAGCCCAAATCGTTGCCCACCCCGGCTTGAGCAGCTGACCATCTTGCCGGCTTGCCACAATACACAAACAGGGGTCCACCAAAAACAGGCCGGGTACCTAGTGAGCGGTTCACAACGGAGCTTCTGCGCATGGAAAGTTAATTGCGGCTGTAAACCTATGAGCTATGAGGGCTTACAAGATGGTAAGCGGACTGTAACCATGCTTCAATTTTTGTCAGCCATTTTGGGGGTTGGTGACCAATTTGGTGGTCCATGAACGCCGCGAGCCTCACAGTCATGAAGAGCGCGAAGGCGAGGCAAAAGGAAAGGACGCACGCCAGGCCCACCACGAAGATGAAGTAGTAGTCCAGCCTAGCCAAGCCCAACGGAGCAGTTTGAGGCTAGTTGTGTGTGTGTGTGTGCGTGTCCTCTTCTTTGGAAACCCCCCTTTGAGTGCTTTTTGTTTCAAGGAGAATCAAGAGGAAGCCATCCTAGCAGCTATCCATGTTGAGGCAGTCAGCACCAAGCACCAAACAATTCCACCCCATCTTGGGCAGGGTCTGAAGAGATGGGGTGGGATCCAGGAACACGACCAAACCCAAAAAGGCCCTGAGAGGAAGCGTCCCATCCATTGTTTCAATCCATTGTGTCTGAATCGCCAAAGAAAAACCTTCTTCCAAATGCTTCTGTTGAGGAACCCAGACTTGGTGTTGGTCCCTTGAAGGGGTTCACAAGAACCATGGGACACCCCACAAAACCCTGCATGATGGGACACTTGCCGATTTTTGCAACCTCCTTCTTTCAGACCACTGGTTTTAATAGGCTTGGCTGCAAAAGCTCGCCCAGCCATGCCCCCACCCCCCAGGTCCCACCCGACTTCCGCCCCAGGCGCTGGCAGGTGGTCTTGTCGAGGCTCGGCACCTCCCATGGCTTGCAGGCGCTGCAAACCACCGCCCTGCGGCTCCGACTGCACACGGGGCCCCCGGCTCCGCATGGAGCCCCCCGAAGGCCGTCAAGCACCGAAGAAAAACAACCAAACAAAACCGGCGCTGATGTCGCAGAAAAAGAAGAAGAAGTGGATGGAGAAAAAACACGGACATACAGTACACGGAAATACTAAACAGGTGCTCCGGAACTACCGTTGAACGCCGCGTCGCTGCCCTTAAATGGTGTTGAAACCGGCTTTTTGTTTTGGACCCTTGAAAAACCAAGCGGTTTGCTGAGGCGAAACGATGCAAGAATATTCTATGAGCCCGGCCATCAACTTCACACTCTTGAAAGCAAAGATTTAGATATCGAAAACACAAAACTGTTGGGTTTTTGCATGATCAGCCGACCTGTTGGTTTTTTAAATGGGGCTGATGTCACAAACATCGATGGAAACACACGGAAAAACATCTTGTGGCAATGCGGCGATGATGAAGGTGGGGAGCTGCAAGATACGGATGGCGCGAGTGTCAAAACATATTTTCCGATTCCCGAAGGGTGCTGGTAGCGGCAGCATGTGATTTACAGGAGGTTGACTTGATGTTGGGATTCCCACTGATTGGGGCCCACCACATGGACTGCAGTGTGGCATGCCATCTTCCCAAGTGGAAGGCCAAGCCGAGCAAAGTTCAGGCCACCAAATCCTGAGGGGTCCCTACTGTTGGGTAAGACTCCCCTGGTGGGTTGGTCCCGTCGCATGCTTTCTGCAAGCGCCACTTGCTGGCCGAGTTGCTGTGGCCGCAGGACGTAGTTGCCGGTGCAGTTGATCCCTCAGCTTGCTGATCTGTACAAAACTGGCGGCTATGTAAGGGGGGTTGGAGAAATCAAATTTCTGTACCAAGTCCTTTCGGGAAAGCTAAGCACTCACGTGCCATCGAACTCCTGTGACTTCCTTGTGAAAAATCACGCCGCAAAATGGATACTTGCGGATACAAGCTCAATGTGCGAAGAACCACCCGGTCGCTTGGGGAGTTCATATGTTGCTCAGTCATTTCAAACCCCCCCAAAAAAATAACAAGCATCAGCCCAAGGGTGCCCTGGTGGTAGGCCTCAGCGTCTGTCATGACATGGACAATTTTCTTTTGATCCTTTACCTCACACGAGTACGGTCTCAACAAGGGTTGGATGCATTTGTCCGGGAATCTTTTCAGGTTGCAGCCCCAAACATGTGCAAACGTTCTGCGGTGGACTAGCGAAGATGTTGACCCCGTCTAGAAGCGTTGCGATCGACTGGGCCTGCCTCGCGCGGACTCAGTTGTTCATGTGTGGTTTACTTGCCTCGCCTCTGAATGCCCTGTGCTCCCCCTTTGTTTGCAAATGATTTTAGGGAATCCCCTCCCAAAAGGGGGGAAAACTACCCTTCAAGGAGCTTTGGCTTGACAAACTCTCATAACTTCCGGGCCATATCGCTCACGCAAAGGAGCCCGAGTTCTTCAACAGAAGCATCCGTAACATTCACACAAAGGGCCGTCAAGCATGGTTGCGAACCATGCATATTGCTGAACATGTGGCAATACAGTATATGGCTGGAACATGGCGAAGCGTGCAATTCGACTTCGCAGTCCCACGTTTGGGCAAGCGTGCCCGTCACATTTTGAGACAAAACCCAACTGGTTTTCAGCCCAAGAAGGAGAATGAGCCCGAAAGGATGCATCGAGGCGGATTCCCTTCCAGTTCATTCCTAAATCCCCAGTCTCATTGGATATAGATAATATGTATGCTGTACATACCTGTAGACCGTTGACTCAAGGACTTCCTCACCTACAAATTGCCTCAGCTGTTAGACCTTTCCCTTTAACCCACCTTTCTATTCCCTTCATCTTTGCTTTTATCTTCATGCTTTTATTATTTATTGTAAACTTTAGAATCTGGGAAATTCATATCTCTCCCGTCCACCAGTTAATCCTCTCTCGCTTACCCACTGTACCTCTTCCGGAATCTTCAATGGTGGACGGTGGAGGAAGAGGGATGTGTCTCCTGTCTGTGTCTGATGAAGAGAGACTATCATGGACGAAGGAAATGATTCCGAACGAAATGTTAGTCCTAATCCCTTGCCTTCCCTTTTCTGGTCTTTATGGTTTGCTTTGTTGATGAGAACTGGCTTGCATGCATATGTATGAAAGCTATTGTTTCAAGTGTATAATATATCTATATATATACATATGTGTGTGCGCGTGCTTGTCGCGTGCTTGTGCACCCGTAGTTTCACGCATAGAGACACCTGTTTCAAGATGCCCCTTTTGTCAGCATGCCGCTAAGGAGCCGAGCACCGCGTAGCCCCGCACCGTGGGCAAAGTGGAGAGGCCGCTGATGCCCTTGAGCTGCTGGTTGTCTTGGATCTGCCTAGAGGAAAGGTTGTGTGGCACTTGCGCCGAGGCATCGAGGGGCCCACTCGCGCAAGGCGGGAGAAGTTGGTGGCTCAAGAGGCTCTTGTGACCGGCGGTGGAAGCCATCCAGAGACCCCAGTACTGGACCCAGGGCACGGGGCACCGCGGCCTAACTGGTGGGAAAATCAAAAGCCCCTTGAGTCAAAGGATTTCTGCAAAGTACAAACTATGTTGGGCTTTTCGTAAAGTCTCCAGCATTTGTTGGTGAGTACTGGCAAGGCTTCAAAAATGCCACGTGGCCTTCATGCTCAAAGTGGCACAGCCGTGGATTGTGGCAACTTGTCTGAAACCCTTCCCAGAAACTGGCAACCAGTCGAGAAGGGCTTTTGGCAAGTCCACTTGCAAGGGACACCTCGATCCAGCCTCAGACAAGAAACCTCAGGTTTGGCCGTAGACAAAGATGTCTAACACAAGCCTCGACAGATTACGCCATGCAGGGTTCCATTTTTGGACCACCCCAAGATAGACTTAGACGCAGGGGTTTTCCTTGGGGGACATCAACCACCCCTGGGTTTAAAGTCCATCTTGGTAATCCAAAAGTGGAACCTGACATCATGGGTACTCCGGAAATGCAACCGACGGCGGCTGCCTTCCAATGAACCCTCGAATTCAGCGTCCCTCTTAAGTGGATTGGCGGTTTGGACCAATGGGTTAAGATCCCCAAGCCACAAATCCAAACCAATTGGTTGCAGCCAGAAACATAGCGCAAGTGGGGAAGCAAAACCCTTGATGTGCGATGTATGGATGATTCACTTAGACTTGCAGTGTTTCAGGAGATCACCGAAGCAAGTGTTCCAGAGGGCAGTAGCCTCTCTCATGTCCATCTGCCAGGCATAAGCTTTTGACAACCCCTCCACATGGGTATGAGTCAAAATTTAGCCAGCAGAAAACCGCAGGTTTTAGTCGTTGTTTCCATTTGCCAGGGTTTCATTTTGGGAACGGAATTGGGCCTCTAGCCTTTCACTCACAAGTTGAGGCTCAAGAGAAGTCTCGTTTGCCCACTGCGCAAGGCGCAAGTTCTGGACGGTGAGGTCAGAAGAGAAGCCGCTCATGTCCTCCAACACAGTGTTGTTCTTCACCTGAGCTGCTCAAATTTGGCCATGAATTTAAATAAGGCACCACCTCCAAGGTGGTTGGTGGACATGAACCCCCACCTACCCATTTGACGTTTCCCAAGTTGCTGTTGTTTTTTCGGGTTCGGCCATGGTACATTTAAGGTTGGATAGTGGCTTCTGTCATTTTGAAAGATGAGGCTAGGGTGAGGTCCATTCATGGGTGTGTAACCTGGTCTTAGCGGGTTTTAGTTTGATTTCAGCAGCCACATGGTCCCCCATTCCCGTGGGCAAAATACAAGTATGTACTGCAACAATAGGTTCCCTGCAAAACTAACAGGGGAAAATCAAACATATTCTTAAGAAAAATCAAGTGATGCCAGAAAACCATGACGACACAACTCAGCAGGCTCCAGAGGCACCACTCCAAAAGAGGGAGCCTTGGTCCACTTCTGGGGTACTCCAAAAACCGAAAAAGCTTCCGACTCTGTTCTTGGCCTCCTATTTGGAGGGCTCCTCCAGTTTCACCCAAATCCATCGAGTTAGTTCTGCCATTTGGATCGCTATTTCTGTGGCAGGGCATTGCCGAGGCATCAAACCTATGGCACAAAGAGGGCATCCAGAAAAACCGACCTTTGACAATTTGGAGGTCCCCAGTTTCACCCATCGTTGGTTCTCCGAGCGGCGATGAGGCTCCCGCCGATCAGCGCCAGCCGGCTAAAGGCCGAGACGTCCCGCAGCTTGCTGTTGGCCAAGATCTCGAGATCCCCGGAGACCTGGACACGGCGCGCCTTACCTCTCGAGCCCGGTTTGGAGGGGGCACACGCGGCACCTGGCGAGAGGAAGTGGGGTCCCTTTGGGCCATTTAAGTAGCTAGCACCCAGTTTTGAGGGGAAGACTTCCCTCGAGAACTGCCGGACCGCCTGCTTCAGCTTCTCAAAGCCCGCCACCTCCTCCAGCTGGAAGTTGAAGCCTTAGCTGACCAAAAGGAGGAGGACATAGCGGGTTGAAGCTTAGAGCTGAAGGAAACGCCGTGATTTTTGAGTGGATGAAGGAAACTCCATGGGGTGGAGTTCTAACACACTTGCTTCGAAAGACCTCCCCAAAGCTACGCGAGAGTTACAAACGTCTTAGGCGGAAAAACCCAAATCAAACGGAGAGGGGGGGGGGGGCACTTTGAGTTCCCAAGGTCAAGAGGCAAACTGGTGGGTCTCTGCGGGCAGAAAAAACAATGAGCGAAATACGGAAGAAAGCAGGAAAGCCCGAAATGAATGGCAAGGCTTGTCAAAAAGCAATAAACATTGCAAGCAACGCAACGCAAAACAAACGAAACCGCCGTTGAGCCGTGTAGCTAATCCTCAGATCCCCGGACACGGCGGCCTTGGAGTCGCCGGTAACTATGGAGAGGTTGGGTAGCAGCACCTGGCAAAGGCAACCCCTCCGTCCATTTGCTTAACCCCCCTGGAAAAAAATGAAAAATACGTTCAATAGTCATAGATTCCCTTCAAAACCAACAGGGAAAAATACAAACTTGTCTTAAGCAAATGGAAGCTTCCAATCAACAGGAGCTAAGAGTTGCCAGTGATTAAACAGCCCCTTTGATTAGAACAGCCAGTGACTAAACAGCCGCAACAGGTGCCAGTGAGACCGCTGCTTGAACGTATCAGCATTCATACCTCCAACACCTATACTGTCACAGATACGGCAGAAGCTGTTTGTTTGCTTTTTTTGTGCATAGGCGTGGGATCGTGCTGTTTAGAGGTTGTTGGCGTCTTGGTTGCATGCAGACAGGCATGTGAGCATGCCTTTTTGGATGCTTGCCTGAAGGTCTTGACCATTTCGAGTGGCTAGAATCTCGGGCCCTCTTTAGAATAGTTCCTACACTGACCCTACCGCATAAATGTCAAGCCAACAAACTTCCCAACCTCTCCTGGCCGCTTCCCCTTTGTCCGCGCAATCTCGGCCTCGCGCAGCTCGTAGTTGGCGAGAAACTCGATCTTCTGAGCGAAGACCATGGAGCTGCTGAATCTGACCAGCTGCCGGTTGTAGCCCACCTGAATGGAAACTAGCTCGCGGATTCCCAGAAGTGAGGCCAAACTGGGCCTTAGCTCGGCTTTGATTTTTTCTTGACCCAACAAAAATAAGCCCAGGTGGCATCCCGACGCGACAGAAACCCCTGAGCCTGGAACCCCTGAGCCTGGAACCCCTGAGCCTGGAACCCCTGAGCCTGGAACCCCTGAGCCTGGAACCCCTGAGCCTGGAACCCCTGAGCCTGGAACCCCTGAGCCTGGAACCCCTGAGCCTGGAACCCCTGAGCCTGGAACCATACATTCCCCCTGAAAAAAGGGCACTGACAAGCCCGGCAAATGAGGCGAAGCAAGTCTTACGCCCAAATCTGTTCGGCACGACTCCCAAGCTGTATGGGTTCATGATTACCGACCACTTTCAAAGAAGTCATCAGCTCTTCGCCTGAACGTGCATGACATTGTAGAGTGTAAAGTTGGATTCATGAGGCCAGTGCCAACCGTAAGAGAAGCCAAATGTCCTGTACAGTAGCAAGTTTCGGCCAGCCACTGGCAAACCAACACAAAGGACACTTGGGAAGGGAAAGGGTACTCTACCCACAAATAGGGAAAGTCACTTGTAATTTGCCTCAAAGGTGATGATAACAAGAAAACCCCAATTCGAGTTTTGCAAAGGTTGGGATGGTATCTTTCACGACGAGTAGCAGGCCGGGCGGAAGACCCCCCCGGCGGCCCAGCCTGCACGTTGCCCGAGACAGTGTGCAGGCTCAAGAACTCTGCCGTCGTAAGGTTGTCGTTGTCCAGAAGGTCCAAGTTCCCCTCAATGGTCGTGAGGTTTCCTCGGAGAAACAAAAAAAAGAGAAGGTCTCAGGCCCGGAAGTGGGCCGCTGCCAGACTCCGAGCTCCATATGAAGGTCCACACTCCCTTCCACAAAAATAAGACCCGGGCTTTTCAAGGCGGGCCAACCAAACGGGTGGACAACCCATAGGGTTGAGGAGTTCTACGGGTCCAGGCCGATGCCGCCAGAGATCCGAAGCTCAGGCTCTGGAGCTGCTTGTTGTGCGACACCCGGAACTGCCCTGCGGGGCGCTCGGGCCCCAGGTCTCGGGTCCCAGCTCGGTGCGGGGCAATCACCGGGAAGCGCGGGAGTTCCCCCGGGTTTGAGGTTGCCAGATCTGGGGACCTGAATGAGTTGAAAACTCAAGCCAAGCCGCTCGCAAGCACAACAGTCCATCGAGATGTACGCTCCAGAGAGGCGGGGGGATCACTTCGGTCGCAGTTTTTGGATCACTTTGGTCGCAGCTGAAATCCACTCACTTTGGTCGTAGTTTGAGCATTTGCGGATCACTTCTGTCGCAATTTTTGGATCACTTCAGGCGCAGTGGAAGGTAGCTTTTTGAGCACTAACAACAGGACACACGCAAAGGGTGTTGCCTCTCAAACACCTAACAACAAGACATGCCGCGTGGGGTGGGGTCGACAAGGATGTTGCCTCTCAAACACCTAACAACAAGACATGCCGGGCGGGGTGGGGTCGACAAGGATGTTGCCTCTCAAACACCTACCAGCAAGACATGCCGGGCGGGGTGGGGTCGACAAGGATGTTGCCTCTCAAACACCTAACAACAAGACATGCCGGGCGGGGTGGGGTCGACAAGGATGTTGCCTCTCAAACACTAACAACAAGACATGCCGGGCGGGGTGGGGTCGACAAGGATGTTGCCTCTCAAACACCTAACAACAAGACATGCCGGGCGGGGTGGGGTCGACAAGGATGTTGCCTCTCAAACACCTAACAACAAGACATGCCGGGTGGGGTGGGGTCGACAAGGATGTTGCCTCTCAAACACCATAGTCAACGGCGAAGAAACTAGGACCGAAGCGAGTAAGGAAACTAGGACCGAAGCGAGATGAAAACTAGGACCGAAGCGAGCCAGCAACTAGGACCGAAGCGAACCCGCGACCCTCCAGAGAGATCCGTCGGCAGAAAGTTAAAACCGAAAGGGTGTGGTACCTTGCAAGCAGCCAGGCCTCGGGTGCATTCCATGGCAAAACTCCTAGAAACACATCACTTGAAGCATCTTTTGGATGGCCCCTTTTCGGAGCGATCTCTCTCTCTCTCTCTCTATGTCTCTCTCCCTCTGACTGCGAGAAAATTTGCAGGGCCACATCTTGACATGCCTCTGCCACCTCCAGGAAGCGATCCCCGAGAAAAGGACCTTCATTATGGGGCCGAGCTTCCTTTGCTCGCCGGCATGAGCTGAAATGTAGTCGTTCACATAACTCGGAGTATCCCCTTGAGGAGGTGCTTTAGGGGGGCCTTTTCGTTGGAGCAATCAAACAGGAAAGAATGATGCGGATGTCGTCACGTTGCATGCGACTATTGCTAATCAGGAAACCACCCCTCAGGATCGATTGTGGGGCTCGCTCGCGAAGGTCACTCAAATGCTTCTCCCGCTAATCTCCAGTTCGAACCGATGTAAACTCCTGGTGGTTGACCCTCCGCACATGAATTGCAGCCAGATCAGGCTGTCTTCCCGCCCCGTTGAGTACCAAACCCGTTCGCCTTTCAGCAACTGGAGCGTGGGAAAGCCCTCGATTTTCTCCAGCATCTTGTTGCCCGAGATGGTGAGGCTGCCCATCCTCGGGCAACGGAAATGGCCGCGGCGGCTGCCAGAAACCAGAAACACGCAGACAGTAAAGCCATGGCTCACAAGAATCACCGTTTTTCAGGCGGTGATGGCAGTGATTATACTAACGGGCTAGCAAATAAAACATGTTTTTAGAGTAAATGAAAATGCACATTTCAAAAGTATTTAAAACAAATGCAGTTAGAATCAATCGAAAACCCACAGTTAGAATAAATCCAACCAGACCAGTTAGATATAATATTTCAAAACAAGGGTTTCTGTTGTGAACAACTACTCTGCGATTAAATGTCCTAGCTGCTAGCCCGTTGCCATATATGTCTACATGCGGCTTTCAGGAAACCATGTGGGTCCCATGATTTTCCATTTGGGTCCGTCTTTCTTTGAAAGGTATATGCAAAACCAAACGGAAACCAACCGTTTTGAGGGGTCCCCCAAAAAAAGACACACGCATTCACCAAAGGAATGCATAGCTTCTCCCTTTTTCGGAGCTCAAAAGCTCAGCCCGACGGGCCATGCCCCTCTCCCACGAACAGTTAGAATATTTCATATACCACAAATTCTCTAGTTGAGACTGTTGACTCTGCATGTGAATGATTCTAAGTGTCACATGTGCTCCGAAAAGATCTTATAAATTATAACCGTACTACATATTCTGAGTTTTCGGAGTAAATTCTATTCTAACTTGGGAGCCGGCGGAGTAAATCATATTCTATTTGCTAGCCCGAGACTATAAGACATCAGCAAAAGTAAACTGCAAAATCGCATTCAAAGGACTTAACTTCTTAACATGTTGCTCGAGTTGCGGTCGTGTCAAATTTCTGGGACCATGCAGTTCGCTCAAGCGACGACTTCACCAACAAACACGCAAATATGATGGCTGCAGGGCATCAAACGATTAGAATGGGTAGTGGCTGCTTCAGGTATGGAAGTACATTTCAACTCCACATTCGCCTGGTGTTTGTGCATCAAATGGCAGGGTGGCACCAGATTGGGAGAATGCACGGAAACCTGATTTCCAAGCCATAAGCTATCTCCGTTCGGCCGATCAAACAGGTGGGTGGCCAAGTGCAAAGGGGTGACAACATCGCAGAACTTCGAAACCACCTCACCTTTCCTTTGGGATTGGATCGATGAGGTTCCAAGCCCCCACGAACCCACATGCCGCCACCCAGGGAAGGTGCGCAAGTCGCCGGCCGGCCAGCCTGCGCAACAGGCCGAAACCACCCGTCCGGTCCCTTGGGCCCAAGACGCTGCTCCAGGTACGGCAGCCCATGCACCTGGCCAAAAGCGCGCTCGTTTCGACAGCCTGGCGTCCCGTTGAACGAATGAAATCAAGACTTTGTAAGCAAGGGGGAGCAAGGGGATACATTGCAAGGGAGTCTGAAGCAATGCTGTCACCCTTTGCAGGTAGACAAGAAGTAGTTGGCCTTTGGCAGCAGAACTCGGGCGAACTTTGATGAGCAAACATTCGTAGCGTCAACCCTGCAAACAGCCACCATCACCATTCGAAACCCGGTCGTTGATCGCGATTTGGCCAGCTTGTTTGATTCGAAACAACACCTCGGTAAGTAGACCCCTGCGACACCATGTGTTGAACAACCATGGCCTAATTCTTTGGCGCCCACGGTCTAAACACCAATTCAAAGCATATATTCGAAACACGCAGGGGAAAAATCTATACGGGGCCCAATTTTGACGAGGGTTCCCGACAGGCCTGTGACAGGTCCAAACGAGGGCGTCCTTTCTTTTTGCCCTCCTTCGCAACTTTTGAGTCTCCGAAGCAAAACCTCAATCTTACAAGGAACTCCTTGTTGTTTTTCCGTCGGTTGAAGAAGCTGAAAGTCGGTATCAACACTCGTTGGTAGCTCCCTTTAGGAAGAATGTCTTGAGTGTGCTCTTGAAGTAGTTCACTCCTTCATTGAGATCTCTGCGCTGGCAGTCGTCTATCAACTCTCGGTAATATCTGAGCAAGCTGACACGTCCGTCGCACAGTGGCGGCAACCTGGTGGTCATTGACAGGTTGATGGCTTCCTCGGTGCTTCCGCATGTTCGGCCAAAACCCGGCCGCTTGTGGCCCGTACAAAGGGCCACTCACCCACTACTGTCATGGTTCACAATGTCCCTCTCCGAACCGAGAGGCATCTAGTAATGGATTTTGAGGAACTGTCCTGATATCCTGCAACCAAGAAGCGGCAATTGCTTTGTTCCACACGCTTCCACAAAAAGGGCTCAAATATTCAAGATACCTACATGGCCGCAAGAAGGTCAATGTCGAAGTGGACCGAGAACCCCCCCCCTCTCCCGCGCCTCGGTGATGGCGTTGTTGAAGCTGATGGTGAGCTGGCCAATGGACTGGATGGTCGGCAGCACCGTGATCTTGGTGAGGTTGTCGTTGTCCTGGACAGGATTTGGACCCCACAACGCCGCGTGTTCCAATGGGAGTTTTTTTTGTTTCCCCCCCGTAAAACCTCGCAACAACAAAAACCAACACCGAACACAAAAGAAACACACACCCAAATGGAAAACGGCCAAAGGCACTCTAAGCACCTGCTCTTTTCCGGCCCCCCTCCCCTCGGCTCCATGGACAGCCGATTCACATTTTGGACAACGAGCGGGCTTTCGCAGAAGCCACCCAAGCTGTTGGCGCGAGACAAAGCAGCTTACTCGCTCCCCGATTGTTCCCCTTTGGGGTGGCTTGAGGAAACTCAAAGCCCCTGCATTGCGGGCACCCTTGACCGCACCCATTTCAGAAACACAAGACCCGCCTCAAAAGACATTCCTGGAAGAAACGTACGCAGCCACCCTGGTTCACCCTAAACGTGGGCCCAGAACTCCGACACCTTGGTGGATTTCCCGAGGAGCCGAGATTGCACGCATTGATTTCCCGAATTGGAGCCCCACAGAAATTGGCCAACCCTTTGAGCTGCCATTGCTCTCTCTCTCTCTCTTTCTCTCTGTATTGTTTCCCTCTCGCTCCCTCTCTCTCTCTCTGTCTCACTCTGGTTCATTCAGTTCGTAACAAGCCCATTACAATACGGCAAGGGTAACCCGAATGGGGCAAAACCAAAGCTGGCCAAGTGGGGCGCTGAGGAAACCTGGGAACTCGTGCTGATGCACGGCAGCGCCCGTTTTTGGCTGGCAGGTCGAAATGTCAGGACACAGCATTGTCACTTGACAAGCCGAAACGTCGGGACTCACCGACACTTGGCAACGTGCCGCACACACGCCGCAGCGTCGCACGACGCAGCAAAGACAGCGCCAAGTTCGGTCCCTGTGCCCTGAAAACAACGCCAACCGGGGCTTGGCTAGCAAGCAGGCCCGCTGGAATTTTCCAGCGGGCATCATTTTGATCAAGCCAGCCTCAAAACTTTGGGAATACATGGGCGTTTCTCAAAATAGTGGTCCCCCAAAATGGCGGGTGGCCCCCTTTAAATAAGGGTGCCGTTGCACCTTTTGAGAAACTCCCACATCCCCCACCTTCCTCTGCTGACATGCTGAAAACAGCGCACAAAAACTGCGTGCCAAAAAGAGCCACCAAGCTTTGGGCAGAGCGACCTGAAGAAACACATACGCTCATGGTGGCACATGCTTCCATGGAAAGAGGGTCAGCCAAATATACAATTGGTACATACTTGGTACTTCCCCGAGCGGTATGCGGTAAACGGAATGCATTTGCAGTCACAAGAGTTTAAACCTAGAATGCCTCATTAACATCACCTGGTTGCAACCGCAACCGGGTCATCGGTTGAGCGGAGGATGCGGGGGGCTCGGGCATCCTTCAGTTCCTGAAGGATGCCACAAGAGGGAGATTATTCTGTCGCGTCCAGGAAGCTGCGTTCAATCAGGCAACCGTTGGTGTTTGGAGGCTGCTAGTTTGGGGCATTTGAAACCCCTGGATCTTGTAGAGGGCATAAAACCGTTCAATCGAGTCAACTTTACAACTTCGCGTGAAGGCACGCATCTGCACGGATATAACCTCTCTGGCTGCAGTCACTGCAGCAGTGCAGCAGCCCGCTACACTGTCGTCTCGTTCAGGGCCTCAACAAAGTCCATAAACTCCGCTGCATGCATTTCCTCATGGCAAACGCAAGCTGTACTCAACGGCCCCGGGCCCGAGAACAAACGAAAAGGCTGCTACCAGTTGGTGAGGTAACCCCTTGAAATGAACAGATTCCTAGAACTAGAATGGCAGGAACCTTCAAAGACTCGGCTGCCTGAAACTCAAAGGGGCCCGGGACCTTGAAAAAGAGGGCCCGTGTCGAAATGGAGCTCCGGAAAGCTCCCAACCGGTTGGCGGTTCGCCCAGTTTCCTCTTCCGGACCCAGAGAAACGATCCAACTCGGCACCCCGCCAACACGACCCAGCTCCCATTGCCGATTCATGGATTTCCCCCCAGCCCACCCAGAATTCACCCCCAAACCCAGGCTGGGCGTGCCCATTCAAGTGACACCCTCAAAACTCCAAACGAATGCCATTTTGGGAACCCCTCAGAATTGATGTCCAAACGGCAGTTGAACCAAAGTCCAGCCATTTTGGTCTGGGATGGAGCTACACCAACTTCATCCTGACACCAGTCCTCCTCCACATCCGCCTTGGCCGCCAGGGCCGACTCCTTCAGTTCTTCCAGCGTCCCGCCATCCCCGCCCATCGAATTGTCGCCGTCCACCAGCGTTGGGAAGTCCACCTTGTCACACCCCGCCCGCTTTTTGTGGCTGATTTTAAGCGGAAAAACCTCCCCTTTCCTCGCAGAAAAAGAAGAAGAACAAACCTGCGCCACTAAGCAACTGGGGTTACTACGGCCTTTGTTTACGGTGGATGGAAGAACAATTGCTTCACTTTTGAAACGAATCCATGCCATCTTGCTACGCCTTGACCCGCACCTCCTTATTGACGTTGGTGTTCAGTGTGGCCAAATTGGGTTGGGTCATGCAAGGTTTATGCCGTTGGTTACCTACGACAGTGTTGGTTTTGCCTGTCGCAGCACCATGTTAACCAGGGTGTGCGCGGCTGCAAACGTGCGGTCTTAACAAACTCATGCAAGATGTCTTCCATCAACAGTATCTCCGCCGGCCTGCCCCTCTTCCACAGTCAAGGCGGTCGTCAGACGCAAGGACGCCGCTTCCGCGGCTTTGGTCTGTAGGGGAAGGTTTCGCACGCCCCCGCCCTCGTCGAGCAGATCTTGCACACGCACACCCTGAGATCCCAGAAGCTTGGCCTTCACCTGCAAGGGATGCAAGGAGGAGCCACGAACACGGTTCAATTTCCACTGGTTCCTGAAAACTTGGGCCATATGGGGGGTCTGGGGCTGCCCGGGCGGGCGCTACGGCGGTGAAAAGAGAAGACAGGAAGGGAGAGAATAGTGGCTGGGAGAGGGTTAGGAAGACAATGAAAAGTCAATGACCCAGCCACCTCTCCCCATCTCTCTGTCTCTTCCCTTGCTCTCGCTTCCTTCAGCTCGCCAAGTCTCAGAGATAAAGAGATGACATGAGAGGTAAAGAAGAGAAAGAGAGATGGAGATGAAAGGGACAGGATTATAAAGGGCAAAAGAAATAGATTATGAAATCCTGTCCATCTTTCCTCACCATCCGTTCGTTTTCTATGTCTTTCCCTTCTCTTCATTCCGGCCATGCCCCCACCTAAGAATAGACTTCCAATTTAATTAATTGGTCGGTTACTCCGGGCCTGCTGCGCGCTAAAGTGAAGATTGGGGCCCTTCAACCGTCGCCGGGTTTCCCCTAGGTCCTTTCCAAGGGCCCGAAGCAGCCCGCTGGGGGTTTGCCTCGGGCACCCAAGGCACATAGACATTGATGAAGACGACCTGGTCTGCATCCAATCCAGTCCAGCAAACCTCTCCTGAGGCCAGGTGTTGGTCCTCCTGCTCCAGGGTTGGGCCAACCCCCTGAGGATGCCCTTCTGTTTGCTGCACAACTGTGACCAGGGCCTTGTTGATTGAACATGCTTTGCCCTGTCCTGCTCCAATGCTTTCAGGAAGACGGACGTGCTTGGATGGCCGGGCACATGGCAATTGAAACTGATGGGACCCTTCGGCTGCACCCCAGCAACCGCCACCTTCTCCAGTCGCATCCGGTACTTCCTCACTTGCGAGCAAGGAAATAAATGAATATATATACATATATATATATATACATATATATATATATATATGGCTGTGGCTCAGAAAGCCGGTACCAAAATGGAACCCTGGTAAGGGGAAACATGGGCCAAAACCTGCGTAACCCCTCCTGTTCAATTTTGAGCCACGCCCATACGTATACATATATATATGAGGAGCGGACGAAACACTTTACTTGGCCCTAGTACTTTTTTGAACGTTATCGTTTTTGGGGGAGACCTTATCGTTTTACAGTGTTTTCGAGCTTTGGCAGATCCGGCTCGAAAATCGCAACTTTGTAGTACAAGTCTAGTACGCGAAGTACATTTTCGCATCTCCAGCTCGAAAATCGCAACTTTGTAGCACAAGTCTAGTAAGCGAAGTACACTTCCACATCTCCAGCTCGAAAATCGCAACTTTGTAGTACAAGTCTAGTACGCGAAGTACACTTCCGCAGCTCCAGCTCGACAATCGAAACTTTGTAGTACAAGTCTAGTACGCGAAGTACACTTCCGCATCTCCAGCTCGAAAATCGCAACTTTGTAGTACAAGTCTAGTACGAGAAGTACATTTCCGCATCTCCAGCTCGAAAATCACAACTTTGTAGTACAAGTCTCGTACGGGAAGTACACTTCCACAGCGCTCCAGCTCGAAAATCGAAACTTTGTAGTACAAGTCTAGTACGCGAAGTACATTTCCGCATCTCCAGCTCGAAAATCGCAACTTTGTAGCACAAGTCTAGTAAGCGAAGTACACTTCCACATCTCCAGCTCGAAAATCGCAACTTTGTAGTACAAGTCTAGTACGCGAAGTACACTTCCGCATCTCCAGCTCGAAAATCGCAACTTTGTAGTACAAGTCTAGTACGCGAAGTACACTTCCGCAGCTCCAGCTCGAAAATCGCAACTTTGTAGTACAAGTCTAGTACGGAAGTACACTTCCGCAGCTCCAGCTCGCAAAGAAGTCTACACTTGCTCCAGCTACAAGTCTAGTACGCGAAGTAAACTTCCGCAGCTCCAGCTCGAAAATCGCAACTTTGTAGTACAAGTCTAGTACAGGAAGTACACTTCCACAGCGCTCCAGCTCGAAAATCGCAACTTTGTAGTACAAGTCTAGTACACGAAGTACACTTCCGCAGCTCCAGCTCGAAAATCGCAACTTTGTAGTACAAGTCTACTACACGAAGTACACTTCCGCAGCTCCATCTCGAAAGTCGCAACTTTGTAGTACAAGTCTAGTACGCGAAGTACATTTCCGCAGCTCCAGCTAGAAAATCGCAACTTTGTAGCACAAGTCTAGTAAGCGAAGTACACTTCCACATCTCCAGCTCGAAAGTCGCAACTTTGTAGTACAAGTCTAGTACGCGAAGTACACTTCCACAGCTCCCGCTCGAAAATCGCAACTTTGTAGTACAAGTCTAGTACGCGAAGTACAGTTCCGCAGCTCCAGCTGGAAAATCGCAACTTTGTAGCACAAGTCTAGTAAGCGAAGTACGCTTCCGCAGCTCCAGCTCGAAAATCGCAACTTTGTAGTGCAAGTCTAGTACACGAAGTACACTTCCGCAGCTCCAGCTCGAAAATCGCAACTTTGTAGTACAAGTCTAGTACGCAAAGTAGACTTCCGCAGCTCCAGCTAGAAAATCGCAACTTTGAAGTACACTTCCGCAGATCCAGCTCGAAAATCGCAACTTTGTAGTACAAGTCTAGCACGCGAAGTACACTTCCGCATCTCCAGCTCGAAAATCGCAACTTTGTAGTACAAGTCTAGTACGAGAAGTACATTTCCGCATCTCCAGCTCGAAAATCACAACTTTGTAGTACAAGTCTCGTACGGGAAGTACACTTCCACAGCGCTCCAGCTCGAAAATCGAAACTTTGTAGTACAAGTCTAGTACGCGAAGTACACTTCCGCATCTCCAGCTCGAAAATCGCAACTTTGTAGTACAAGTCTAGTACGCGAAGTACACTTCCGCATCTCCAGCTCGAAAATCGCAACTTTGTAGTACAAGTCTAGTACGCGAAGTACACTTCCGCATCTCCAGCTCGAAAATCGCAACTTTGTAGTACAAGTCTAGTACGCGAAGTACACTTCCGCAGCTCCAGCTCGAAAATCGCAACTTTGTAGTACAAGTCTAGTACGAAGTACAAAGCTCGAAAAGACGCAACTTTGTAGTACAAGTCTAGTACGCGAAGTAAACTTCCGCAGCTCCAGCTCGAAAATCGCAACTTTGTAGTACAAGTCTAGTACAGGAAGTACACTTCCACAGCTCCAGCTCGAAAATCGCAACTTTGTAGTACAAGTCTAGTACGCGAAGTACACTTCCGCAGCTCCAGCTCGAAAATCGCAACTTGTAGTACAAGTCTACTACACGAAGTACACTTCCGCAGCTCCATCTCGAAAGTCGCAACTTTGTAGTACAAGTCTAGTACGCGAAGTACATTTCCGCAGCTCCAGCTAGAAAATCGCAACTTTGTAGCACAAGTCTAGTAAGCGAAGTACACTTCCACATCTCCAGCTCGAAAGTCGCAACTTTGTAGTACAAGTCTAGTACGCGAAGTACACTTCCACAGCTCCCGCTCGAAAATCGCAACTTTGTAGTACAAGTCTAGTACGCGAAGTACAGTTCCGCAGCTCCAGCTGGAAAATCGCAACTTTGTAGCACAAGTCTAGTAAGCGAAGTACGCTTCCGCAGCTCCAGCTCGAAAATCGCAACTTTGTAGTGCAAGTCTAGTACACGAAGTACACTTCCGCAGCTCCAGCTCGAAAATCGCAACTTTGTAGAACAAGTCTAGTACGCAAAGTAGACTTCCGCAGCTCCAGCTAGAAAATCGCAACTTTGAAGTACACTTCCGCAGATCCAGCTCGAAAATCGCAACTTTGAAGTACAAGTCTAGTAAGCGAAGTACACTTCCGCATCTCCAGCTCGAAAATCGCAACTTTGTCGTACAAGTCTAGCACGGGAAGTACACTTCCACAGCTCCAGCTCGAAAATCGCAACTTTGTCGTACAAGTCTAGTACGCAAAGTACACTTCCGCAGCTCTAGTACAAGTCTAGTACGCGAAGTACACTTCCGCAGCTCCAGCTCGAAAATCGCAACTTTGTAGTACAAGTCTAGCACGCGAAGTACACTTCCGCAGCTCCAGCTCGAAAATCGCAACTTTGTAGTACAAGTCTAGTACACAAAGTACACTTCCACAGCGCTCCAGCTTGAAAATCGCAACTTTGTAGTACAAGTCTAGTACGCGAAGTACACTTCCGCATCTCCCGCTCGAAAATCGCAACTTTGTAGTACAAGTCTAGTACGCGAAGTACACTTCCGCAGCTCCAGCTCGAAAATCGCAACTTTGTAGTACAAGTCTACTACACGAAGTACACTTCCGCAGCTCCAGCTCGAAAGTCGCAACTTTGTAGTACAAGTCTAGTACGCGAAGTACATTTCCGCAGCTCCAGCTCGAAAATCGCAACTTTGTAGCACAAGTCTAGTAAGCGAAGTACACTTCCACATCTCCCGCTCGAAAATCGCAACTTTGTAGTACAAGTCTAGTACGCGAAGTACAGTTCCGCAGCTCCAGCTCGAAAATCGCAACTTTGTCGTACAAGTCTAGTAGGCGAAGTACACTTCCGCAGCTCCAGCTCGAAAATCGCAACTTTGTAGTACAAGTGTCGTATTTACAAAGCACACCTTGGCAGCTCCAGCTCGAAAGTGGCGACTCGCCTTCTCGTTTTACGGTCCCACAGCTAGCTAAGTTGCAACTGCAGGGGTTATTATAGAGCCGTGTGCTAGCTAAGGGTTATCGTTTTTGGGGGAGACCTTATCGTTTTGCATGGTTTTGGCATGTGTTATGCAAAAACGTACCCCGCCTTGATAAAGTGGTCTTCGTGTGTTTTGTCCGTGGCTCATATATACAAGGAAATAAATGAACATATATATATATATATTATATATATATATATTTAGTTACTTATTTATATAAGCTAATGTTTAGCATTCGCCAACCTGCACCAACAAACCCTAGGGAATATTATCTATCTATATATATATACACAATATATTTGTGCACATCGCCAACCAGAATCCAGGAACACCCTATGAGTAGGGTGTACTCCACCTGGAAATGGATCTAGAAAAGGTAGGGCTCGCCTGTGAACCCTGAAAGGTGCGATCCAGCAATCTGCATTCAGGATCATAAAAAGGCGCCCCAACATGCGAAAGTGAGCGGTAAAAATGTCGGGCCATCGACGGCATGACATCGCGAGGCTACACCTCTGCAAAAATTCACATGGAGCTCGAGGTTCCTCTACTGATGGCACTGGGTTCCGCGACCGGCAAGGGAAGAAGGCCAAAAAAACAAAAAGTCTTGACCAAGGGGCCCGAAAGGTGCAACTCTAATGTCGGAATCAGGGGCTCATGAAAATCAATGCCTCCAATCTGAGGAACAATCGACAAAACCCGGAAAGAAGAATGGCTCAAAACCGCATCCAAATAAGCATATTGACGCAAAGAAACACATCGGGTGCTTCTCAAACTTCGCCCCCCTTTCCCGGTGCTCGGCTTCCTTTGCAAGAAACTACATTGGAAACCGTCCAAGCAGATGTTCCCTATCTTGTGGCTCTTGCTCCCTCTGTGACCAAAAGCTAATCGAATACAAACCTTTGCCCAAAACGTGAAACGCTAAATAGTCCGTGCCCAAATCTCAGTTGCCAAAAGGACCCAGGAATCAAACAGTTAACCTTTTAGAACCGTGACCAAAAATGGAATTTGGGGAAACCAAAAGGTGAAAAGCTCGGCCTTGACCAAGGGAGAAAAAGAAGACTCCCCAACTGGAAATCCACGAGAGTAGGTTCGCTTCAACACGGATTATCCAAACGCACCTTGACAAAGAGGCCTACCCTTCAGGACGCTCCGCACACCCACCCACCCACCCACTCACCCACCCACCCACAGCCTAGTTTCTGGTCGCCAGTCACCGTGGCAAAGGCCAGGGCCACATCAGGGCCCGCGCCCCAGCAGCCAAAGAGCCCCAAGAAGAAGGCGACCGCCACCCACGGGGTGAGGAGAATCGTCCTGGGGCTCTCTCCCACGCGCGGTGTCCGATTCGAAAAAGACGCATACGCAGAACACCACCTGCACGAAACCTGGGCCTAACAACCAATACAAACCCGAAGCCAGCCGAAACCAACCCTTGGGCCCCAAACACACCTGAATCATTCAAGCCAAGGTGAAACGAGAAACAAGCGCACCTATCTTCAACTGAGCTAGCCTGAACGCTTCCAGCTGCCAAACTACCAATCAACCGTTCCAACTTGAGGACTAATCTGCTGGCGGGCGTTACCAAGGAACAAGACTCATCAAGGGATAGGGAAACAGCTTCGCAAGAAGAAAGCTCTTCCATTCTCCAGTCTATCCATCACTCTTCGTTCCTTGGCATGCCTTAGCCTTGGATTTAGAAAGAAGAGGTATGAAAATCCTGTCCTAAGGTCGTGCGGATCCCACCCTTGAAGATACCTTGGAGGCAACGCTGTGCTTAAACCCGGGCTGAGAGACTTCCGTTTGCTTAAGTCTCTGGAAAGAACTGTAGTGAGAGATCCCCTTCAGAACCAACGAAGAAAAAACAAAAACAAATGGAAGACGTTGACAACCGTGGCCCAAAGACTGTGAGTCAAGGAGGTGCGTGGCAATGATGGACATCAGTATCGGTGGGTTCATGTCCGCCAACCACTTTTGAGGTGGTTCCCTCTTAAAAACACAGCCAAATGGGCAAGGGGAAGAGGAAGAAACGAACATGCCTGCTGTGGCTCTAAACGCATACGCCTTCCAGCACCCAAGCTCTGGTTTCTCCACGTTGGTCCCAAGAACTCTTCAGATTCAGAAGGCTGTAAGGGATAGATGCTCATTTTGCCATTGCTTGAGGCTCATGGAAAATGAGCCCAAGACGCACGGCAATCTTCACAGCACAAAACCAGAACGCCAACTTGGTTCCATCTAGCTTCCAGCCGGACAATGCCTTACATGGGCTAAGCGGTGACTACCATAGGGGCCAGCTCCCCCGGTTCCATCTGAGCCATGGTCAAAACTTCATAGGTCTATGGTCATGGTTCCTCCTCAAAACGGTTCTTTCAGGATCCTTACTACCAGGTAGATGACCATCCATTTAACCCCAAGCAAACTGGGCTGTCCTCAGATTCCCCCGCTACTAAACCCACCAAACCAACTAAAAGGATCCCCCGCTACTAAACCCACCAAACCAACCAAAAAGGATCTAAAAGGATCTAAAAAGATCTAAAACTATCCAAAAAGCTAAGGGACCGGATGGCTGGGAACCCCCAAGTTTTAAAAAAAAAGTCTGACCACACCATGGCACCCGCCCCGCCCCGCCCCGCCAGAAAAAAAAGCCTTCCGGCCGACCCGCTGGTCCTCACCACGCTGGTCACCGCGGCCACCAGGAAGTCCCAGCCGTCGGAAGGGCTCACTGAGGCCAGGAAGAGCCAGATGGTCAAGAGGGACAGCAGCAGGTAGACGCACACAAAGACCCAGAACCTGGGACTTGGGACTGGCTTCTGAGCTTCTGGCTGTGAAGACCCAGCTCGGACTAGGTGTTTTCAAGACCCAGCGCCTGAAGATGCGAGAGCTTCGGATCGGTCTTGACTGGGGTCGGTTTCTTGTTGTTTGAGACCCAGGAACCCGAAGATGAAAGCTTCGGATCGGGTTTTGGACCATTGGAAGGGAACCGATCCCTTTGCGCCCTTTGTTTGGGTCGTCGGAAGGGAGCCTAGGAGGGTAAGGAAGGAAAAAGGAAACAGGGGTTCAGAGTCTTTCTAAGAAACACCCACCTCAGTCGGGATGAAAAGGAGTTGTGCACTTCTAGGTCAATAGTTAGTTTGAAAGGCATGGTACATGCTGTCCTGGACAAGCGCGAAGAACGTGTGTCTAATGCTTTTACGTTGGCAGAAAGGTGTACATCCACTGTGAGTGCCCTATTTGCGTTTGATGCACGAACCCTAAGGATCACCTTTTTTCAAGCGGGGAGGCCCTTCCCTTCTGGCTTTGACAAGGTTGCATGACTCCAACCACCAAGCGCAGGGATAAGGTGACTTTGAAGTACGTATATATCAACCAAAAAAAACATAACCGCTGTCAACAAACAAAAAAGTCGCACAAAACTGGCAAGGTGAGGACTGAGGAGCAACACCCTGGCTGCGGTTCCAAGGCGGCTGCGGATCATCTTGTGCTGGATGAAAAGCACGGCGGCCATTGGCAGAAAGCCCACCACGGCTCCAAGCCAGGCAACCACAGCGCCTTGCATGAACAAATAACTAGATTATCCCTTGACTTCAAGTGGAATTTGCAGTTTGGGGAAGTTGCACCGTCCCACCCGCCAAAGTGCCTGAAATCCTGTCACCCTCGCCCAGGCCAGCTGTCGGGAACATGGAGCCAACGAATCCCAATGAAAACCCCAAGTGGCCTGCCTGCCTTGGATCATCTTGGATCAGCAAAACCGAGCCGGAACCCAAACCATGTGCTGAAGCTGTCGCTCCAAACCACATCCCTCCAAACCCAAATGAGAAGAATCCCAAGAAATAATTCATCATCATTGCCACAGGGAAGGGAAGGGTGGCAAAGTGGGAAAGCGCCACTTGTCCCAAGGATTTGGAAATAAAAGGGGACGGTGGGCGTTAGTGCACGTGAGAGACTAAAAGGCTTCAGTTCAAAGGGGCACAAACAACGAAGCCGTCGCAACCGGCCGGTTCCATCCTTTAGCAGCACGGTGCGTTCCCTTTTGACTCTGCGTCGTGGGGACCCTTAGGGCTTAGGGCAGCCAAAAATCAGTGGGACCCTTAGCGCAGCCCAAAATCAGTGGGGACCCTTAGGGCAGCCCAAAATCAGTGGGACCCTTAGCGCAGCCCAAAATCAGTGGGGACCCTTAGGGCAGCCCAAAATCAGTGGGGACCCTCAAGGGCAGCCCAAAATCAGTGGGGACTTTTAGGGCAGCCCAAAATCAGAGGGATAAGGGCAGCCCAAAATCAGTCGGCAGCCCAAAATCAGTGGGGACCCTTAGCGCAGCCCAAAATCAGTGGGGACCCTTAGGGCAGCCCAAAGTCAGTGGGGATTTTTAGGGCAGCCCAAAATCAGTGAGGACCCTTAGGGGACCCTTAGGGCAGCCCAAAATCAGTAGGGACCCTTCACGGCAGCCCAAAATCAGTGGGGACCCGGCAGGGCAGCCCAAAACCAGTGGCGACCCTTAGCGCAGCCCAAAAACAGTTGGGCCGCTTAGGGCAGCCCAAAATCAGTGGGGACCCTTAGCGCAGCCCAACATCAGTGGGGACCCTTGGGGCAGCCCAAAATCAGTGGGGCCCTTAGCGCAGCCCAAAATCAGTGGGGACCCTTAGGGCAGCCCAAAATCAGTGGGGACCCTCATAGGGCAGCCCAAAATCAGTGGGGACGACCCTTATAGGGCAGCCCAAAATCAGTGGGGACGACCCTTATAGGGCAGCCCAAAATCAGTGGGGGGAGTATTGGGCCATTGGGCTTGATGAGATCTTACTGAGGGCGGGTGTTGGGCTCGTGGTGAGTTTATGCGTGGGCTTGAGGCTGATTTGTGGCTGGTTTAGCAGTGGCTCTCGGGTATGTCAGCCCCAACTCAACCCAAACCGACCTGAAGTCAGCCGTAAAACCACAACACCATGGACATCGGCCCTTTGCCGAGCCTACATGGCCATGGGTGGTGCACCCACCCCAAAATGGTACCATTGGTTTTGACCCACAACCACATGAACCCCGAACCCTTTCCAAAATGACCCCTAAACCCGCCGAAACCCCTCCCCCTGACCTCGCACGATGGTCGCCAGCAGGGACTTCTCCTCCTGGCACTCGGGCGGCAGATTCGCCGCCAGGGCCGTGGTGCTGTAGAACAACGCCACCAGCGCCAGGCCGCTCCTTGGACCCGTCAGTTGGGCCCCGGCTTGGCCCCAGCGGCAAGCGGAGCAAGCGGCTGGGCGGTTATTGGAGGCAAAAGAAACCTGGGACTACCATGACAGAACCCTAGAGTGTGCGGCAATTCTTAGGGGTACTTAGGGGGTCCGCCAGGAACCCGTTTTAGGGTTGCTCATCAAAAGGACACCCCACAATTATGAGTTGGGACATGCGCAAACTGCCGCAAACCCCTGTTTTGTTTTGAGGTGCTGCAACCCATTGAGCCATCCTCACATCGGATTGGCGAAGAACACCCCCCATGCTTCCCCATTTTCGGCTCGGACGAAGTCGGGAGGCAAACCCTGTCCCTCGACAGGGTGGTTTGGAGTCCGGCGGTTTGGACAAGCCCAGCCGATCCAAGCCACCAAGGAGTTCCCTCAAGGTCGGGCAGCGAAAAACCACGAGGCATGAACCGTACTTGCTGGGCTGGTTTCTTTGGCGGTCCTTTTTGGAAATTCTGGAACCAGGATTCATAAAACTCCTATTTTGAGCGGAGGCTGAAAACCAATTGGCTTCTCATAAACACTCATTTTTTACAAGGGGATCCTCGGAATGAATAGGTATAACCGTGACTCGCTTGCCCAAGGGATCCAGAAATGAAGGTCAACCCTGGACTCCCCAAACTCTCAGCCGAAAGGATGCCAAAGGATGGGCAGCTGGAAAGAAACCTTTTTGGATACCAGCCTTTCTGTTCGAGCCCTTGCAGCTTCAGTGAGGGTCCTCCATCTTAGGTTCCAGAGAAAATTAGACCCAGACCCCAATCATTGAATCCAAGCACCCCCCCTTCCCCAGCCCCCTAGTTTCCTCCAAATCAGACCTCACGCATTAAAGGCCTTTAATCAGCTGTTGTCTCTATCTTCCTGAGTTGATTCGCCACCAAAGTTTGCACTGTTTGTTTGCCAGTAGAATGGTCCAACCCCAAACAGTCCAAACAGTCCAAAGTCCGAAACTTCAGAACTCAGGAAGTGGACCTTAGGAACCCAGGTTGGGGAGGGGTCAAACGTCCAACCACCAGCCCCTTTCGCCCAAGGCTCCAGAACTTGGCCAAAGTTGCTGCACACCGCTCCAGCGAGGAGCTGTGCGCCGTGGGTGAGGAGAAGCGCACCCACTTGCACAGGGCCAGCCACAAGACGGTGGCCTGTGCCGCGCACATCGCCGGGAAACTCGGGGGCCAACATAAATTCGCCGTTACGCCACACAGATGCTTACCCCTTAAAACTCCAAGCCCTGGGGAAGTTAATCTTTTACAGACATATAGCCCATGTTACCCAAAAAGCTGAAAAGTTGTGTTTTTAAGAGGTAAGGATGGATGCAAGGAGGTGTGATGCAAGCTTTGGTGCTGTGCATGTGATTTCCTTTGCTTTTGAGGCGGGGGGGGACAAAAAATAGCCCGCGCGGGGCTCGGCGCCCTTTTCAGGTTGGCTCCTGTAATCAGAAAAAAAGGCCTTCGGGGTGGGTGCTGTGGGTTGGTCTCCAAATCCAAACCGTCGCCTTTGTAAACCTGTACGCCATGTGGCCCGGCGCGCCTTTGGTTTCCAATTTGCCTGAGCAAATCAGCTACTCGCCAAGAAAACAGAGGAAGCCTGGACACGAATGTTTCCAGACAATTTCCGCTGTACTTCTCCCATGCGTCATCCGTAAGACCAAAGCGCATGCGTGAAATTGAGCGTGCTCTCAAAGCCACAGGTGACCTAAAGCCCCGTGGGCATGGGAAAGCAGGACAGTGAAGGGAACCCAAAGGAGAAAGTCCATCCTAGAGGGCTGAAGACCATCAGCCCCGAAGCCATTTCGAAGCATTCCTCAAACCGGGTCCAAGTGTTGACAACCATCTAGAGACGAGTTTCCCTGTTCCCCTTCTTGTTTGTTGGGTATGGGTTGCCCACTGGAAATGGAACCAACTGGGACCCCAACAAGAGATACTGATACAATTTTCATCTTTACTAGGGTTCGTAGGGGACTTGGAAGCACGCTTGATCGCTTACCAGCGCCTTTCATTTGCTCAAGGGGATGTTTTGCGTTTGGCCGAGCAGCTTTTGACCGACCACACAAAAGGGTGTTTCTCAAAGTAGTGGTCCCCAAAGATGGCTTCCTTTTGGTTTCGTAAGCCATCAAGCTCGGTTCTCTTATTCTTGGACCCCATGTCCAGGTCTATAGATGAAAAAAAACCAACTGAAAGGGGGCTCCCTTTGGGTGTCACCCAGGACCCGCGGTTGAATGGCTTGTTAACGAGTTTGACAGTGTGGTGAGGGGGACAGGTGTGATCGGAGTATACTTCAGTACCAGTATTATTGTAATCGCTATGTCGATGTATCGTTCAATAGCCATAAGCATAACCTCTGATATCTACAGATATGAGATTCATTGAATTCACACCTCTCCCAGGTTGGATCATAGCGGCCTTCGCTCTCAAGCTGCGCGCATGGATCTGCGCCAGATAGTCCTCCCAAGCGCCCAGAGGTGAGGGGCCCCTTTCGTGTCAAATTGCACGGTCAGGGTCCCCTGCAAGAAGAATTGGGGAACTCAAGAAGCCCCTGATAGGCTGTATTAGTCGCTATTAGCCTCTATTGGAGCCCGCAGAGTCAAAAACCAGCAAACACTGACATGCATTAATTGCTCTTCACCAGCCTGCTTTAACGCAGGCCCATTCATGGGATGTGAGCTTGTTGCAATACCAAAAAAAACTAACCATGGGAGTTGTCCCATAAAACGCTGCCTTCAGGTGAACCAGGGGCAACACGCGCCCCAACACCGAGAGGATGCTCGCTGTAAGGCACGCCAACATGTGAGCAGTTGTTCAGCTGTTGCCCGCGCTTTCACCCACACAACGCAACATGAGGAGCCGCCACGGACGGGGGAGACGCCGAGGCACTTTGGGGTGAGCTCTGGAAGCCTATGCGCACAATCAGTTGGGAACGCCTGCTTTTCCCCAATATTCGTTGCCTCTGGGTTGTTCTCCCCGAGGCCAGAAGTGCCTCCCCAAATCAGAAATGGAGGCAGTCGTTGCCCATGAGTTTATGCATGTGCATCCTCAACATGGTTGGATTTAGCCTTCCCTATTCAAAAATGGAGGCACCATTCGTGCCATTGCCCAGACCCCCAAAGCCCATAAGGAACACGCTACCCTTTTGTCGGCAGCGTATTTTATAAGGGGACCCCCCCTCGCGACACACAAACAAAAGTAATAAGAAGAACAACCCCCCCACCCCAAAAAAAACAAAACACAAACGGAAGCAACCCAGTCTCTTTTTCACTGGGCGTCCAGGGTCGTTCTCCGTTTGGAAATCCATTTGAGACGATCGCCAGCTCCTTGGCCTGCGCGTGAAGTGGGGTAAAGCCCCCTGTCACGTAGAGCTGCTTCAGGAAGGCGACATCCACACCCAGCCTCGGGTCGACCCGATTCCAGTCACACTCAAAACCCGGTCTTCTTCCAGTTGCTTAAGAATATGTTTATTCCCCATTTGTTTGTATTATTATTTTCCCTTGTTGGGTTGAAAAGGAATTTATTAATTACTACTGGACATATTTCTATTTTTTCCAGGGGTCTGAACCAAATGGACTTCTTGAAATGGTTGACCCAGAACCATGTAAGGAAATACAATGGCGGCCACAGCTATTTATGGCTGGGGGTGTCCCTTACCAACCTTCATCTACCCGGGTTTGGATTGTGGCTCTGATGGGTTCCGGCCAGACGTGGTTGAAGCAAAACTGCGCCGCTTTGTCCTCAAAGCGAGCCCCCCGAAATCCGGGAGTCAAATCGGAAACCGGTCTTTTGGCCTGGGACCAAAAAAGGCCCGAGGGGTGTGCCTCACGGGGCAAGATGGATCAGATTTTGGCGAAAAGTTAACTGATTGCTCCCCCCATGTGGGAACACGGCCGGACAGATTGAAGCGCGAACTGGTTGTCGGATGAGGGCAGAAAAGCCGACTGTTTGCTTCCGGCATGCAATTGGTCGGTTGCACCGACTGCTTGCTGAAGGGAAGATGCTGGAACACCAAGGCCAAAGGTTCAAAAGCAGTCTGGCTATGAGCGGCTTCCTTCTGGCTTCTTTGAAACCATTGCATGGGCAACTTGAAAACAAGACACACCACAATGGGCCCAACTTGAGGACACGGGATAACCTGAAGACACACTTGGGCCCACTAAACGTGCACTTGTCGGTGGAGAAAAAGTGAGAAAACGCCGCACAACCAACGAGGCAAGCTGAACAGCGGCACGGCTTCCTGGCGCCTGGCAATGCAAATCAATCTTAAGAACGCCTAAACCTTGATTCCGCCGCTTTTTGTTTGTTTTGTTTGGGGGTTTCCACAGTTTGCACAAGGATCACTCATTGCCCACATGGCTATGGGTCAAAAAATGGTACCCAATATTTTATGGAACCCCGGTAAATGCAACAAGGACTAAAACCTGCGGCCCCCTGATGGTCTAATTTTGACCCACACCCAAATCACAAGTTGATGAGCTCAATGGGATCCAGCAAAGTTCCTGCCACTTTGGGAGGTCTCACTACCCTTCCGCAAAGATGGCAAGAAGACGGAAAATAACATCAACAGTCACAAGGCTGGCTTTGGGCAAGCATCTTGTACAGCAAGAGCTGCGAGTGCACGTGCTTGTACAGGAACTTCTTCGCGGTCCTCAGCTGCATGAAATTCTCTTCGGTGTGCTTTTATTGCCCCAAAGTGATTGAAACATCATGCTACAGGAGCCATCTTCTGTGTCCTTTAGCGCCCCTTTTTGTGACAGGTTGGGCATGCCCTCAAGCAGAAACCTGCATGTTTAGGAGAGGCAAACATTAATTGGGTAGCCTGCGGGTAGCGGCTGGGTAAAGTGACAACCTCCTTAGACACATCACCTCAGGCGCTGCTGTGGATGGACAAAACCCTGCACCAGTTGACCAGTTGGCAGGTGGTTTGCCCGCCCGTGCTCACGGAGCTTCGTCCATTCCAGGGTTGTGGAATCAAGGGGTCTATTCCCACTTCTGTGATACAAGGGAATCTCCCCCTTTATATGGGGTGTTCATCTTTGGGAAGCCCTTTTTGTTGTATCACAGAAGTGGTCATTTCCCACAACCCTGACTGGCCAACTGGTGCGAAACTGGTGTTGTCCATCTACATGCCACAAAGTCACAAAGTTACCTCGGTGTTGGGGGCGTGCTCGTGTGGTTGGCTTGCTTGTAGCATTCAAACCAAGCTAGAGAACTCTGATCGGTCGCCGAACCTCCTCGGCAAATTGAACAAACCAGCCGCACGGCTCGCTTCCAACCAGCTACCACCCACGGGCCCCACATCAGGTTACACTTGGTTGGCGCTTTGGATTCGTGTTTTGGGGATTGGAGCCTCTTTTTTCAGGGGCAAATGGGAAGCCACCCCTTGACCACCGGGCTCCAGGGCACCACCAGGCTCCACCAAGCCAAGCCAATTCCACCGAGAGGGAAGCTCACAGGCACCCGCCCCCCGCCTGGGGTGGATCTCCAGCTTCTCCTTGGGCAGCTCCTTCGTCACCATCTTCCGCAGATGGGCCTTCAAAGCTTCCCATCCGCTCGGCCGAGTTGCGAAACCCATGTTCGAAGACTTCGAGAGAACAAAGAAACAAGCAAGCAAGCAAGCAAGCAAGCAAGCAAGCAAGCAAGCAAGCAAGCAAGCAAGCAAGCAAGCAAGCAAGCAAGCAAGCAAGCAAGCAAGCAAAGCAAGCAAGCAAGCAAAGCAAAGCAAGCAAAGCAAGCAAACAAGTGAAAAAAAAAACGGTGGTTTCTTTGTCTTACTTTGTCATGAACCAATTGACTTTGGCGAACTGAACTTTAAGAGTTGGAACCTCAAAAGTGGTGGGCGGAAATGAACCCCCGCCGAATTGCGATGTCCGCTGCCTTAAGTTAAGAATCACACCCACTTTGGGTTCGCTGTCTCGAGAAAGGGCGCACCCAAGGCTCCTCCAACGTGGTTTTTCCCCCAGCATGCTTACAGGCTACAGGCCTGCCCAAGGGTCAGCCGAGTTCAGATAAAAAGGTGGAATCATAACCTTCCTGAGTCCACTTCTAACAGGCTAAGTTCCAGAGAAACATGCAAAAGAAGGCCATCCTTCAAGCATAAACCATGGATGGATCAGGATTTCGAAATGGTTGCACCCACCCACGCACGCACGCACCCACCCACCCACCCACCCGCCCGCCCGCCCGCCCTCCCAGCCACGAAGCAAATCAAAACAACGCAAACGCTTCTTTTTCTTACAACGATCAAACCAGGCAAAAAAAGAAAGAAAGAAGGGGGCAACAATCACACCCAGGCCCTAAGCCCTCCACCCTTTCCAGCTGGTTCTCGGCGCCTGCTGGCAGGACTGCCAGCTCTCCACGAGATGCCTCCGGTGGCTCTTGAGCTGCGCGTCCCGCCAGCATGCAATGAGCAGCAGCGCGGTGCAGAGCACCAGAGCCAGGACCTTGCCACAACGGCGGAAGGGGGGGACGACGACGAAAACAAAAAAACTGGAAATTCGCGGGCCTCAGCAACCGAGAAAACAAAGAGCTTTGGCCAAGAAACGCCACATGTTCGCCGCCATGTGGCTTTGGGTCTCCCTCTTTTTTGGACGAGCTCGGTGGATTCCAAGGACCCGGTTGATGTTGATACACCTAACGTGACCTGGTAGAAACCTGTTGAACGAGCTGGCAAAAGTGGCTTTTAGTTGGCCTACATACATCCTTTGACAGATCTTGATGACTTGACGCGCTAGGAGAATGCTTCGGATCAATGAGCTGGAGCTCCACAACTCATGTTGGGCACGAATTGTAAGTCTTGGACCCTTTGCTGGACATGAGGAAATATAACTCACGTCACTGCGGCGGCTCTTAAAACTCATGGCCAAGTCAATGGTGCCCGTATGTTCTAAAATTGTGCTGCTCCCTCCATGGTCCATCCCCCGAACGAGCCAAAACCCATGATCCACCGGCTGGTTCATTGGAAGAAACAAATATGTTTCCCTAAGGTCCTGGGTCACACGACACACGAACTCACTTCCGATCCAGTGGCAACGCAAAGGTCCAACCACTTTTTGTTTACTAAAATGCTCCAAACCAGGAGGATAAGCAGTCCGATGCGGTTTTTCATTTTCAGTTGGACTTCAGTAACCCACCCCCCCCCCCTTCCCGGGCGCCGGGCCGTGCAAAGGCCCGGCCCCTGCGACAGCCATTGGAACTCCACCAGGGCCTCGAAGCCTTCCACGCTCCGCCGGCCGTTTTGCGCGCGCCGTTTTGTGCCGCGGCTCGACCGGGTGTCTCTGGTTTTGTGGGTGCCTGGACTCTTAAAGAATGGGTTGTTGCCCTCAAAGAAGGTGGTGAACTTTTCGGAAACCAATTTTTATTGGTTGTTTGAGGGACCGGGTGCCATTTTTGGGGGTGGTGTTTCCAGAGACAAACCACGCAGTGGAAGGGGTTCCAACTCATTGTTTTCAACAAACCCAGCTTGGTTTTCTTTGGGTTTCCCTGGCAACCACAGAGGTCCGCCGCCATTGTTAGAACGCCAGCAGTTGGACCCCCGTTTGGTTGGCTGCAAGGAAACCAAACACTTTTAGTTGTATTAATATGCTAAAAGACTTCACAGCTAAAGCAGAAGCCCTTGTTTTGATGATTTTGGTTGGGTGGTTGGGCTGTGCCCAATGCAAGATGGAATCGCCTGAAGCAGAATTGTGAATGTTTGGTGGAGTTTGTCCCATTCAACATGGCATCCTGCACTTCTGGAGTTGACAAATGACATCAGAACATCTGGCTGATACTTGCTTGGTGTCTCCAATTCCAGAGGGCATGCACTTTGCACTATTCAAGCTGAAGGCTTAATCTATGGCCGACAATACCAAGCTTGGATCCAGGATAGGGCAAATGTCCAATGTTCCTCCAACTAAAACACTTTCCTCAAATTCCACATTTAGTGCACCTTCAGACCTAAAAAGTCTTTCATCACTACTGCACACAACCCTCCTCAGTGGATGTTGGATATGTATCCTTTACTTGATTGTACCAAGTCTGCCGCGTCTTATCGGCTCGCACCCGGGAGACCCTTCGGGGGCCCATGAACACTTCTCATGAACCCTCCATGCTGTGGAAGCGAAGGCCTTTTGGTTCTGAGGGGGAAGACAAGCCAGCAACCCACCCTGAGACCCTCGGATTTCGGAATTGCCCGGGAGAAGCACCTAAGAGCTCAGCCTTGGTCAGCAAAAATGTCCATCCCCCGAAGTCAGTTCAACCTCTGACCCTGCAGGCGGCTTCCAGGTTCCTCGCAAGCCTCGAACCTTGTCAGGCGGAATGAAGCAGAGCCGCACAGGAGTCCTTCAAGCCCATTCAAGTTTGTAAGAGAACAAGGAATCCTGGCTTGCAGCAGCTTTGCACTGCTTTGCCTTGCCACAGTAAATCGAAGAGCCTGTTTAACGCCGAAACTACACAGGGGCTTGTGAATGGCGCTCTCTGCCATGTGGGGGGGCCTGCGGGCCAAACGGGACCAACGAAGCCAAGTGATACTGATACAGGGGCTGTCCTGGGGCTTCGGGAAGACCGACACGATTCAAAAGGGACCATCGGACCAATTCGCCCGCCTTCCTGGGAGAAGATGGCGGCCGCATTGCTGCAAATGAAGACCCTAAGTGGCACACCCCTTTGGAAATCAAAGCTGGGCTTGCACGGGTCCAACGCGGACGTTCCAATCTAAATTGTGTTGCAACCCCAGTGCACAAATGCAAATACATATGCATATGTATACACATGTATCTAAACACACTGCAGGTTAACTCGAAGTCACCTTTCAAAGGGTTCCATGTCAAGTTCCAGGGCAACCTTCGGCAACCTTCGATGTTTCGGACAACATGCATTCTCTAGCTTGGCAAAACGGCTCAGGCTGGGCAGGGAATCGCATGGGCCATGGCACATGAGGATCAGGGCGAAGATCGAGAGGTGGGTGGTGGAGCAGGTCACGGCGTCAGCGGTAATGCGCACAACCGACACCCCCTCGGTCGACCAGGCCTGCGCGCTGACAGTGGCCCAAAGCACATGGCTAGGTTGCACCCCACAATCTGGACACCCGCTTCAAGCGAGCACCGAGCATGGTGCCAATAACCAAAATTGCGGCCGCACCGGTTAACGGTTGGAAACATCCCCACTGACCTTCAACTACCCGTTGCCGGCGCAGACATCAGAGCATTTTGGCGCCGATCTGTGAGCCCGCATGGCAGCATGTCGCTATGTTCGCCCGCAAATGGGCGGAAATGGGAGTAGCTTCCGCCGAGCTTGCGGTGTGCTTCAGGCTGGCTTTGAGCTTACTGGGGCATTCATGTGTTCAACGGGGACCATGGGAAATGGAGGGTGCCCAACCGGGGACACAACCCTGCCTGTAGGGACTCGTCCCAGTAAGCGCAATCGGTGCGGAACTTGCCCGCCGGCGCCTGGAAGCTGGTGGTTTGGGGGTGTCGCCCACGCAAGCGATCCGTATTCCCGCAAGGGACCCCTGATCTCTGAAAGCAGAACCAACCACGCGCCGTTTGACATTCATCTGCCGTGGCTCAACGCATGCCGCGTTTTCAACCGCTGGTGTCCCTTTTATGGGGCCTGGCATGTCGCAGGTCAAGGCGAGCCTGGAAAGGAAGAGTGATCTCCAGGGGCTGTGGCAGCGTAGTAACCTCGCCGCTTTGCGTATAGATGTTGAGGCTCAGAAGGGGCGCAAGCAGCCCAGGCGTGTAGTAGAGGGTGACGTCCTCCTAAGACGTGTCAGGGCCAAAATGGGTTGCCTTCGCGCAACAACAACAATCAATCCGGGCACCTGTAGTTGACTGTCCGGCTGAAAATACAATCCACATGGGCGCGCTTTGTGTTGGATACCCTTGGGGGTTAAACGTGCATAACAGGGAGATACAGAGTGTTTTCTGCTTTATGGTGCAAAAGTGCTGTGCCTGCCAAGAAATCCGCACCTCACCTTGCAAAAGCCCTGCGCCTGCCACGCAAACACAATGTCGCAAAAAGCGCGGGCGTTCGTGCCAATGAGCCCGCTCGGAGACTGCTTGGATCCCGCTCCGCCAGCGCTCCGAGGAGTCGTGATCAGGCTAGCTTTTCGACCATCCGAAGCCCGCAGAGGGTGGCACCTTTTTGAACATCCCAGCCACACGCGCACGCATCTTCTTCGCGCGTGCTTTGTGATGCACCCCCACTGATTGAACTACGAGACACGCCCCGAATTGTCCAACCAAAATCCGGGGTCCCCAGTTCCCAACCCCGAGCCAAAGGCTCCAAGACCGCCAGGCTGATCACAAAGAAGCCTTGCGCCTGAAGCGCGCTGACCAGCGACGCCGGCAGCTCCACACGGAGCCTCAGGCGCACAGAGCGCTGTGCACGGAGCGCCCGCCCGGCCGCTTCTTTACAAATGGGAAAAGGCGTGGTCTCTTTTCTTGAGGGTAACGTTTCTTGGGGGGTCAAAGACACCAAAAGCAAATCAAACAAATCGGGGGGTTCCCCGTTTTCAAGATGGAGAAGAATTCAAAGCAAAGTGGCTCTTTTGGGTCACCCTTTTACCCGGAAAGGGGATGGAAATTGCTGTGCCCTGCTCACTGGGCAAGACAGACCAAAAGCTGACACCGTTTCTCACTTTTCACCAGCCTGCTCAGACAAGCCCTCCAGAAATGTAGAAATTGCAAGCTGGTGGTGATGGAACACAACGGCAGCAGGTCCGAAACCAGTCCGCACGTCAAAATTGTCTAAGCCAACGGCAAAACATGTGTCCCGGGCAACGTGGCCATTGGCAAAACAGAATCGAGCTTCCTGCCTTCTTCAAATATAGGGCAAAGGCATCTGCACCCCCACCAGACCACCGACCGTCAGGCCTCCTTTTGTCAATCTTGTGACCCACGAAGCCTCCAAGTGCCAGATTTGCTAGGCAAAAAGAGAAAAGCGCCGAACGCAGTTTGGCATGGAAGCCAAGCCAAAATGGATTTGGACGAGTCTCCGCTTGGCAAATTTGGGCTCCATGTTGATCTGCTGGGGGGGGGGGTGCTGAGGTAGGTTTGGGCAGGGGGGTGGGCTGGTTTGCCGCCTGGGGCTTCACTGACGACCTATCCGCTTTGTTGGGCAACCTCGAGATACACGGTGCTTTAATTCCAACCTGTACAAGACGGACTATGTGTGCACCATAACTTGGAAAACATCACAGGCTCAGTTGTTGTGTCCGAGTTTCCTTTTTTTGCTGCTGATGTAAAAGGGGAGTCCCCGTTCAAAAGGCATGTCCCACCTTTAGCGTTCAACTAACTGTGCTGCGCTCTTTGCGCCAACAACTTCAGAATGCTCAGAGCAAACAAACAAGAAACAGTTCACTTGTGGGGAGTCTACTGAGGTAGGCTTCAGCCCAATTTCGGGCCGTGCTCTTTGCGCCCGTTGAACATGATCAGACCCAAAAAAACAAAACGGACCGATCCAACCGTGAGCCCTGCCGGGCAGCTGCTGGTAGTTGATCACTACGGAAGCCGACGAGTTCGCCTCGATTTGACAGCTCTCGAGGTCGAGGTCAAGGGGCCCAACTTCCCAGATAGATAAAGAGAGAGAGAGAGAGATATAATGATATACATAATATGTATATGAGCCAGCGTCTATATTTGCTGTGTGGGGTGTATTCATTCTACTTTTAGTGAGTCCCCTATCGTTCTCCACGTTTCGCGTGTTCGTGCTGTGCCCGATGAACCCTCTGCAGGGATCGCGTGCCTCGAAGCGCTCCCACTGTGGCGCCGTGCGAATTTGTAAAGCGCCCGATGAACCCTCTGCGAGGATTGCGCGTGCCACAGCGCCCTCGCTGTGACGCCGTGCGAATTTTAAAACTGCCCGATGAACCCTCTGCAGGGATCCTGCGCGCCCAAGCGCTCTCGCTGTGGCGCCGTGCAAATTCGTAAAGTGCCCAATGAACCCTCTGCGAGGATTGCGCGTGTCAAAGCGCCCTCGCTGCGACGCCGTGCGAATTTGGAAAGTGCCCGGTGAACCCTCTGCAGTGATCCTGCGCGCCCAAGCGCTCTCGCTGTGGCGCCGTGCAAATTCGTAAAGTGCCCAATGAACCCTCTGCGAGGATTGCGCGTGTCAAAGCGCCCTCGCTGCGACTCCGTGCGAATTTGGAAAGTGCCCGGTGAACCCTCTTCGCGGTGACCACGCGTGCCCAACAAACTTTCTACGCAAACCCCTATAGCGCCGCGCGAACTCGAAAAGCACCCGACAAACTTTCTACGCAAACACAGCACTGGAACCACACGCGTAGTCTTTTGTAAGCAAATGCACTAGGCCTCACATTTGCAACTCGGGCCAATGCTCGGGGTATCGACGGGGTATCGACCGGGGTATCGTTCTGGGCGTGTGTCGCGTGACGAAAATTTTCACAATTTTCCATAAGCTGTTAGAGCCAAGCAAACACACAATAGCCTTCTCTGCCTTGCGGTAATCATATATCAGTCTTGGAAGCTTGCTTGCTGGCAGCAACCTCAAGGTCGCAAGTCGCAACTTTCACCACAAGCGCAGTGCACGAGTTACACTTCGGCAGCTCCAGCTCGAAGGTCGCAGCTTGCGGCGGTCACGTGTCAGTCTAAGCGGCTTTTGCTTGCTGGCAGCAACCTCCAGGTCGCAAGTCGCAGCTTTCAGTACAGGCACGGTACACAAGTTAGACTTCGGCAGCTCCAGCTCGAAGGTCCAGCACAAACCATGTTCAGGGGTATCGTTTTTTGTGAGTCCCCTATCGTTCTCCAAGGAAAATGCAAAAAACCAGTATTGAATGAAACGCCGTTGATAAAGTGGTCTTTGATAATTCTGAGGTTGACTCATATATCTATATATATATATGTATATATCTTTATAATATGTATTTATATATTATGGATAGTTATGTAGTATAACATTTACGTGCCAAAACAAATGAGGTGGTCATAGGTGGTCGCACATGCCAACCCAGCTTAAATTACCAGGCGGATTCGGCGAAGAAGTTGGTGCGAAGCCGATTGCGCAGGGACTCCAACTACACTCGTCACCTGCAGGTTTGACAAAAACTGAAGCAGCAATTGGCGTGTAGTTGGCCAATTTGCTCTGCGAGCCGGCCACCTCGCCAAACGTCGGTTGGCGGACACCTGTTCCAGAAGGAAAGGCAGCCTTGACGGGGGGGCGCAATTCCGCGCTGGGCATGGCAAATTCTGGAACCCAACCAGGCGGCCAAGCCATTGCAACGGATATTCCTGGGTGTTCAGTCCTGGCGGCTTGATCGGCTTGCAAATGTTGAACCCCCGAACCTAGCATTGACATCTCTTCTGACACCACTGTTGCAAATGGGTGTGTCGCGGTTATCCTTTTGGTTTCCCTTTGATGTCTCCCACGGCCCCGTGCTCAGCGCGCGGAAACGCGCGCCTGCACGGCTCTGAACATCACTGTGCCGTTCAGCACCGGCGACGGCGCCTCGCGCGCATAGAGCGTGAAACCGTCCGTGGCGGAACTGCCCAGGCTCATCCCCAAGATCTCCGTGGAGGAACTGGACTGGAAATCCTCTCGATCAAGGTCTCCCTACGAGGGGTGCTGGCTAGCAACCATGTAGCGTCCTTGCAACCATGGTGTGGGCAATTTCGAGCCAGACAAAAGAGCTTTGTTTTGAGGAAGCCTGAAGTGAATGTAGTCCTAAAGGGAATGCCCAGTAGCCATAACTATACCGAGCAGCTTTAATCCAAGATCGTCTCCACTACCCACTACCAGAAACTGGCTGTGGCAAAGCGGCTGCATCCCATAAACCAACTTGGGGAGTGGGGGTTCCACGTTAGATGTCAACTTTAAACACACTCAAACAGACCGGAAATGTACTCGGGAGCCCTCAGAAAGGAACTTTCAATAGCCAAAACCTGATTCAAGCGAGCAGCTTGATACCTCAGCCGAGTCCGTTACGCTTTAAAGCTGCAGGAAGGCCCCGAATAACTAACACGGGTTGCATTTCCCCCGCCGCAAGCACCGTGTTTTCTACGGTGAAAAGAGCCTCCCACGAGGACTGCAAAAAGTAAAACGAGCCATTTGGCCCATGAGGCTGCTTACCCGGGGAGCAGTTGCGACAGGGCTTTGATCCACCAACCATTTTGAGGTGGCCCCTCTTTTAACGCTTATGGCCATTTATGTGGGCTGCAAGACCCAACCCTTGGTCCTCAATCGCGGCAAGGGCGTCTGCAGCGGTCGCAACCGCCAGGGTGGTGGTAGTGGTGGTAGTGGTGGTGAGGGCCGTCAAGAAGACATCCACCGAGTCCGTGACGCTACTTGACCCCGTCCCAGCGTAGATGAACATCCTGAAAACTCGTTCAGTTCAAAATGGAGCGCTGGCCAATTTGCCAAGGCGACAACCGAAAACAAGCAGAAAACCACAAGTCGCGTGTACCTTCCCCGGACCCGTCCTGTCACTCCAGTCGACAACAGCAACATGCTGATACCGGACCACGGCAGGACCCATCACCTCCGTCCAGGCACCCACGCCGGTGTCATAGCCCCAAACGTCCCCGCGCTTGGCCTGTTGTGACAGGTCGTAGTCCTGGCGTGTGTTTATTGGTCAGCAGAAAATTTCAACATATTCTGTGCCAAACGAAAAGCAAGACCTTCCCATCCTGCCCCCCGCCCCAAAAAAGAATGAAGGACAAAACACACTACTAAAAGCAACAGAGATATAGCAAAGGCTCATCCCATCTCGTCCCAGCCCCCAAAGCTCACCAAACCCCAAAAGAAAAAACTGCAGGAGAACAGCTCCACCCTTTTCTCACCGCGGGCACATTCTGACACAAACACAGCCCCATGTCAAATGAAAAGAAAACACGCAAACCGCCCGGCCCAACTCAGCCAAGGTTCGTAGAAGTACCCTCCATGGATCCACATGATGTTCTGAGCCTGCGAGAGCGCCGCCGCGTGGCTCCGGCGCGGCGGCGGGCCGTCGGCCGTGGTCATGTTGGTCCAGGTGTCTGCCTGGATGTCCTGCCCGCTGTTGACCTAACCTCCATTTGCTGAAGTCCCTGGAATCATTCGAAAGATTCCCTTTCAATCGACAGGGAAAATGACAGAGAACATGGAAGCCAATCTTAGCCCCGGTTTGCCCCTGCCTGATTAAATAATGGATGGGGGGGTGGCCCCACCTCCTTTCAGTACCAACAACTGAAACACGATGGCCAAGCACCATTAATAATGTGGAAGAACACGTTGAAAATTAAGGGCCCGACTGAGAGACCGGAAACCTTTCACCCCAAATCTGGATCATTGAGATATCATTGAGATCATCATTTCCTGCCCAGCCAACCAGGCACCTTTTTCTGGGAGCCTACCCGGAACCATGCTGGCTTGGGAACCCGACTTACCCAAGTCTGCATTTTGCCCTCAAACCCACGAACCGCAGATGGAACGCTCGACGACTTTAAACATTTTAAACCAATCACAACGGGGAACCCAGTCCGGGCTTTGTTTGACGCCCTGTCTCACATGATCCTTGGCCAAGACAGCGGATCGTGTGTCCAACACAGAAGGGCTAAGTGTACCATGACAAAACCTATCCCCAGCCACAACTTATGAGGGCCTCTCCTTGGCCTACTGCCCTTAAGGAGAATGATGGCACGTAGAGGCCTTGACATCCTCCCTCAAGAACCTTGCCTCGTCGTTTGGCGCGTTGCCTTCCGGAATGGCTACGGAAAGGAGCTGGGGTTCGAACCCAAACCACCTACTTTGGCATAGGGTTGGGGAGTCAAAGCCAACGGAGTTCCGTGCACCGAACCGAGTCCAGCAACCAGAGGTCGTTGTAGAAAGCGCTGCCCGCTGTGCCCCCAAAGATCCACACCCGGCCTGAAAAAAACGAGGGCGAAAGAAGGACACATGCGCAACAGTTCGTTCAAAACAAGGGCAAACATGTTTTTAGACGGGAGGTACCATGTCAATTGATCCAGCACGAAGAAGACGGGATAACTAAAGGTAAACAAAGCCCCAAACCAAGCACAGCACAGCATTCCGGAAGGGGAACCGCCACCCCGTAACCACAAAAGGGGGAGGACCTACATAGAAAGCTCCTTTTGCCTGGCAAGGCGCCGTTCTCAAAGAGCGATGAGTGATAGGACCTGGCGCCCATGGGCGCGTCCGCACGCTGGGCCCAACTGTTGCCGGCGATGTCGAAGGTCCACACGTCGAAACTCCCACTGTTGCCGCCGGAGAAGAACCACAGCCTCCCCCGGCGACGTGACCCGAACGGTGGACGGTGGAGCATGGGAATGTTTTGCTGGGCCCGCTTCTAGGGAACGAATTTCGGAGTGCCAAAGGCCGTCTCTGGGCATTTGGCAAGTTGGGTGACCCATTCCCTTGGGACGCCTCCAAAAGTGCACATCCGGTGGATAAGTCGTGTCAGCCACCGCCACGCCGTGGAAGCCTGTGTGGCTTCCAACTGCTGCTCCTGCTTGTTACTTCCCACGTGGGCTGAAACGCTTTGCTGCTATCGGCGCTGGCGCGGGTTATTCCTAACCTCTCAACGTAGGCTCGGTGTCCCCTTGGTTTCCCTTAGGCGCGCTACAACCACCTAGAAGTGCAGCCGTCGCGCTGACTTCTTTCAGATACCTTGCCAGTTACTGCATCCTGCCCGAGAAGCAAAGAGTGGCAAGCACAAGAGCCAGCAAACAGCTGAGTTGACCCCTTGCAGGTAACATGAAGCAGGAAGCTCAGATCAACAAGCCGCCCAAAGACCCAACAAACAAAAAAACACACACACACACACAACTCCTGAAAGACATGGGTATGCGTCAAAATGGGAAAGCCTCCAAAATGGTGCCTTTCCTTTCGGCTTCCCTTGCAGCCAGCCTGAAAAGGGTACCTCAAAAACACAAAGCACAAACCCATTTGAGCAGCGCCCGAAAACTCTTCGGCCATTTTGGCCTCACCCAGAGTCAATGGGTGAAACGTTGGTGCCTAGCTCTTCCTGGTTTCACATTGCTTTCCTGGATTGTAGGCATGCGTTGGTCACCTGGGAAGGGTGGAAAATGAAAGAACTTTTTTGGGATACCCCCCCTCCTAAAATTTCAATTCTCAAGGGGTGGTGATTTTCCTGAGCCCAGAGCCCGGGCCCGAGCCCCGGTCGGATCCTCCCGGCGCTCGGCTCGAAGACGGCGCTGCCGCCGAAGCGGGCGCTGGGCCCGGAGTTGCTCGGCGCCAGCGTGGCCCATGACTGGCCCTGGGCCCCGAGATGTTCGGAGCCGATAGACGAAATCCATTTCGCACCACTTTGAAACCACGGGGAAACCATTGTTTGTTGGCATTTATGGGGGAATCATCACTCCAGGGTTTCTTAGGTGATGCAGGACTTCGCCCATCCACAGTATCAACAGGCCGGAAAGCACCCGGATTCCCAAAACAAATGTTGAGGTTCAGGCACCAAAGGGGCCACAGCTGAAAACGGAGGGCTCGTAAAAGGCAGGGAAGCCTTTCTCGAGGTCCAAAGCCACACTGGACGCACTTGTTGCACGCGAATATGGGAAAAGTTGCACTTCAGGAACGTGTATGTATACAATACATACATATATTTTTATATGCATGCACTCATATAGACCTGTATGCATACATGGAAAGACTAATATACATAGCTCTATCTATCTCTCTCTCTCTCTCTTTCTCTCTCTCTCTCTCTATCTTTCTCTTTCTTCTCTCTTTATGTCTCTTTCTTCCCGTCTTATCTCTCTCTCTCTCTCTCTCCTCCTCTCTCTCTCTCTCGCTCTCTCTCCCTCTCTCTCTCTCTCTCTCTCTCTCTCTCTCCCTCCTCCCCCCGTTCTTGTCGAGAGGCTATCGTGTCGTAGGCATAGAAGCCGCCCACCTGCCCTGAAGCAGTGAGGCCGCCAAAGATCCACACCTCCAATGTCGCCGGCCGAACGGGAGCCCTATGTAAACCAGTTCATCTCAAAATGGGGGACACCGAGATGGACGGTCTTCGCCTTTGAAGCCAACAAAACAGGGGAACCCTCAGAAAAAGGTTGCGCGTGAGTCACACAACATCTCAGCCCTCGGAAAGCACGCAACACGAGAAGCCAACCAGCGGGGTCCAGACATGATTTGGTCCCGTTGGGCGCAGTGGAGCCCCGCCTTCTTCTGGCCAAAGGCCGCCTGCGCCGCCTGCCGCGCAGAAGGGCCCCCAGCTGCCGAGGCATTGCGCCATGTGTCGTTCTGCGTGTTGTAGGCCCACACATCCTGCGAATCCGACGCTCGCCGCAAAAGGCATGCGACAAAACTGATCCTGGGGGGTGCCTGGAGGAACCGATTTCGGGGAAAGGCCAACATAAAGATTGAAAGCGCGGGAAGACGATCCATTCCATTCCAGAGGTTGGTGGGGAAAAAGAAGTGAGGCGGGCTGATGCAGGCTTGGACGGTTCGCCATGATTGTCAACCAAACAGGCAGAAAGGGGGCCGAAACGTGATGCCCAGATTCCTTTAGCCCTATTGGGGTCAGGGTTTGGAGGGAAGGGAAAGGAGAGGATAGGCGAGGACGAGGCTTCTGGCAAGCCATTCATGAAGGCCGTGTTGCCACGTTTCCCATTCTGTTCCAATTTGTCCTCCCACATTGTATGTAAAACAAGGGTGTTGCCCCATACAAGGGCTGGCTGTGGGTCGCTTGGCGATCCAAACAAGATAAAGCAGGGCCGCCAAAGCGTCCGAGTCACAAAGGTTCCAAGACACCATGGAAACTGAGAGGCTCCTGGGCGTTTGACCCTAGGACCGACGGAAGAAGAATGTTGGGTTGGTGTGCTTTGACGGGCCGAGGCAAGCAACACGGCAAAGAGAAAGCACGACCCAACGAGCAAAGTCACACGGAGAACCAAAGGGTCACCCAAACCAAAACACAAGATCCAGCAACCATCGCTCCACCTCATCGGTCGAACACCTGCCTCAATGTAGTCGAAGCCCCCCGCCGGCCCAATGCCACGGCCTCCGAAAGTCCAGATCTCCTCCGGGTGGCAACCCTAAGCTGCGTGAAAGAAGAATAGGAATCGGGATTAAATGTAAAGAAAAGGGGCCAACATGTATGAACTGGACAGGGGGGATCTGGGATGAGGAAGAAATGGAAACAAGGGCAAGCAAAGAAAATGTCCTGCACAGCAAGGGCTGAATGTATGAACCCCGTCCGTCCAGCCTGGGTATCTATTATATTGGGAGGTGCGTGTTGGTTTGGGGCTAGGTGGTGGCCGTAGGATTGCCGACTTATACAGAGATATACCGAGATGAAATGGCGTAACAACAATCAAGGGCAGCTACCCGCTTGAGCTTTTAGATGATATGTACTCATGTTGGTGTTGTATTCTCAGAAGTGGACACCATACACGATGTCTTCCTTTTGAAGCCCTTAAAAGGGGCAACGCAATTTAGCGTACCCCCCCCCCCCCGGGCCAACAAGTATTTTTCTTGGCACGGAAGACTGCGTTCCACCTTGCATGCTGCGGGTGAGGGAAGGCGCAAACAGAATTGACAGCATATGCTGGTGTAGGTCCATTGCTCGCGGGCATCCAAGGCTGGACGGCTGGGCGCAAGGTTTGTGTTTCCCTAGGTTCGACGGGCTAAACCTAGGGATTTAAAAAACTAGAGGACGATTGGCCCGAAAGCATTTTTCCACAGGTTCTCATCCAGCCGCGGAGACACCTTTTTACATCGCTGCGGCGAGCGTGTCTGCGCGCGGCGATGCTCAGTGTGTATGGTCACATGAGAGCTCCATCTCATCATCCTACTTTCCTCTCGAACTGCGCCGCGCGATTTCTCACGAAAGTGGTCTGCGCAAGCTGCATTGTTCCAGGCTGCTGCGCGCAAGTTGCTCTCTGCAAGCTGCTGCACGCTGCTACACGCAAGTGCTCTGTGCAAGTTTCTCTGCGCAAGTGCTCTGAGCAAGTTGCGCTGCGCAAGTGCTCTGCGCCAGTTGCTCCGCGCAAGCGCTTTGCACATGTGCTCTGTGCAAGTTGGTCTGTGGAAGTTGCTCTGCGCCAGTTGCTCCGTGCAAGCGCTTTGCGCATGTGCTCTGTGCAAGTTGCTCTGCGCAAGTGCTCTGAGCAAGTTGCTCTGCGCAAGTGCTCTGCGCCAGTTGCTCCGTGCAAGCGCTTTGCGCATGTGCTCTGTGCAAGTTGGTCTGTGCAAGTTGCTCTGCGCAAGTGCTTTGTGCAATTGCTCTGTGCAAGTTGCTCTGCGCAAGTTGCTCTGCGCAAGTGACTCTGCGCAAGTTGCTCTGCGCAAGTGCTGCCGGAGCTGTGGGAATGTAATTCGCGTACTATTTTTGTACTTAAAAGTTGCGATTTTCCAGCCGGAGCTGCGGGGGTGTGCTCCGCGTACTACGTTTGTACTTAAAAGTTGCGATTTTCCAGCCTGAGCTGCGGGAGCACGCTCCGCATACTACGTCTGTACTTAAAAGTTGCGATTTTCCAGCCGGAGCTGCAGGATTACGGTCCGCGTACTACGTTTGTATTGAAAAGTTGCGATTTTTCAGCCTGAGCTGCGGGAGCACGCTCTGCATACTACGTCTGTACTTAAAAGTTGCGATTTTCCAGCCGGAGCTGCAGAGCACGCTCCGCGTACTACGTTTTGTACGATTTTCAAGCCGGAGCTGCCGCGGACCAGGGGGGAATCGAACCCGCGACCGCGGGATTGCGAAAGCAGGCGCGCAAACCACGAGACAACTTCCAAAGGCCGTTTCGCGAGCAAGAAAATTGCACGGCGCCACAGCGAGAGCGCTTCGACACGCACAATCTCCGCAGAGGGTTCGCCGAGACTAAGACAAATTCGCACGGCGCCACAGCGAGAGCGCTTCGACGCGCACGATCTCCGCAGAGGGTCGCGCGCGCGGCCAGCAGAAATCGTAAAAAGTCCTCAGTTTTTGAACCTCGACCACGCGAATCTCCGCAGAGGGTCGCGCGCGCATGCTAAAAAACGTAAAAAGTCCTCAGTTTTTAAACCTCGACCACGCGAATCTCCGCAGAGGGTCGCGCGCGCACCGCAGAAATCGTAAAAAGTCCTCAGTTTTTGAACCTCGACCATGCGAATCTCCGCAGAGGGTCGCAATCCCGAGCGACGATCAAACTCCCGCCCCGGCGCCTTAGAAACCTAAACTAACTTACATAGCTGCTAACGCCGAAGCTCTAAGCTCTATGTAACTTGGCTCTATGTAACTTGGCTCTATGTAACTTGGCTCTATGTAACTTGGCTCTATGTAACTTGGCTCTATGTAACTTGGCTCTATGTAACTTGGCTCTATGTAACTTGGCTCTATGTAACTTGGCTCTATGTAACTTGGCTCTATGTAACTTGGCTCTATGTAACTTGGCTCTATGTAACTTGGCTCTATGTAACTTGGCTCTATGTAACTTGGCTCTATGTAACTTGGCTCTATGTAACTTGGCTCTATGTAACTTGGCTCTATGTAACTTGGCTCTATGTAACTTGGCTCTATGTAACTTGGCTCTATGTAACTTGTCCAAGGGCTCCGCACGGAAGAACCCTTCGCGATGCTTTCGGGAAAAAAACGGCTGTTGCTGTCAACACAAAAGAAAGTTCGGAGGAGTTTCACATCCAACCCACATAAGCGGCAAAGCACACATCCCAACATGGCTCTATATATACAGAAAATGTCTATATAGATACAGATATAAATATATATATATATATACATATATCGATTTGAGGCCCTTTGGCGGACATCAATCGATTCAAACCAACCGTGTTTGACGCTGTTTCCCAATAAAGCATCATAGCCGCATGGAACATTCCACGACACTCCCAAAGGGCCCGAGAACCCTCCATTTCGTGGGCATGGCCTTGTCAAGCAGGGCTGTTCCTCCTCCTCCCCCACCCACCCACGCCTGGGTCTCGTTGTCGAAGACCCCGGTCAGCAGCTGCACGCGAAAGGGCCCTGCGGTGTAGCTGTCGCTGGACCATGCGCCCTGCACGGTCACAGGGACCAACTGGGCCGTGGTGGTCGCGGCTCCCGCGGTTGTGGCGGCGGCGACGGCGGTGGTGGTGGTGGTCGTGGTGGTGGTGGTGGTGGTGGTGGTCGTGGTGGTGGTGGTCGTGGTGGTGGTGGTGGTGGTGGTGGTGGTGGTGGTGGTGGTGGTGGGGACTGTCCAGAAGACTTGCACGGCGTCCTCTACGGAACTGAACGAGCCGCCGTAGATCCAGATCCTACCGAAACTTCATGGGGAAACTTGGAAGGACTGTTCAAATGGAGGGCTGGCCGACCCTAAGCCTTGGGCAGCCACAGCAAACGGCCCAAGAGCAAGATTAGGGATTGCGACAAACTGACTCCTGGGCTTTGTATTTGGCCAAGAGACGATGGAAAAGCAGCCACTCACCAAATGCAACCTTCGATGTGGGACCCGTCCTGTCACTCCAGTCGATGACTGCAACATGCTGATAGCGGACTACGGCCACACTGGCCGCCTCTGTCCAGGAGCCTGCGACGGTGTCATAGGACCAGACATCCCCGCGCTTGGCCTGTGCCGAGAGGTCGTAGTCCTCGAGTTGACTAAGACACGCCCGCAGGGCTCCATTTAGACATAACAGGCCGTCAAACAAACGAAATGCAGAAGCCACCACCCGCAAAAAAAAAAAAAGAAAAGAAAAAAAACGACCCAACTCAGCCAAGGTTCGTAGAAGTACCCTCCATGGATCCAAATGCTCCGCTGAGACTCCGAGAACACCGCCACATGGCTCCGGCGCGGCGGCGGGCCGTCGGCCGTGGTCATGTTGGTCCAGGTGTACGCCTGGATGTCCTGCGTCGCGCGTTCTACCCGACACCCTGACCAAAACCCACGCGAAGATAGCCACCGGTCCTAGCGTACAGTTTGCCCGTTGGCTTCAAGCAAATAGAAGTTGGGAAAGGAACGGTTGCCTCACATGAACCAACGTTCCACGGCCAAAGGCTTAACGGCCTGTGGCAAGCCCCACCTCGTTGGCCAGCAATGCTTCGACAACAGGTTGCGTCATGTTTTGAAGTGCTTAGCTTTGCTGGTATGTGAGCTACACCGTTCAACGCGTTGCAAACATTGTTTGTGGTGTTTAGTCACTAGTCATGTTTCCATTTGCTTGAGCCCTCATATGTCCAGTAGTGATAGATTGTGATAGATGCCCCTTTGAAGAAACAAGGAAAATGCCACGGTCTTCTTGAGCGATGCGGGAAAAAGCTGGTGTGATTTGAGGCGATCTTTTGTTTTGAGCTTGCTCCAGCTCGGATCGGCAAAACGGTCCGCGCCTCGGAGAGCCGGAACTTGGGTGCCGCAACAGGGTGTCATTTGCAGGCGTGTTGGGTTCGACCGTTTTCTTTCTTTTTTTTGTTTTTTTTTGTTGCTCTGAAACTCTCAAGTTGCTCGTGGTTGGGCAACATCCAGATTCCTGGAGGGTTTGGGTTCCGCGAGAAATTGGTCCGAATTTCTGCCAAGAGGACATCCTTGGTTTCGAGCAGGCTCCCTTAATGCATGGGGCTGAGCCTTGGAGGTGATTGGTCATGTTGATGTGAGGATTCCGTGTGGCAGGATTCTGTGTGAAGGTAAAGAGTAATTGTCTGTGTCACAGACGGACATTCGCACCCACCACGGAAATGGGTCATGCGACGCAAGCGGTTGTTTAACTGATAAGGATCTATCGTGTGTCCCAAAATGCCCCCAAAAGTTGCCCTAAAAAAACAAAGGACTCTGTCTTTGCAGGGGGGGTATGGCTGAGCAAATATGAGCAAATGCAAAGTAACACGGGACAAAAGATCGGGGCTTGTGCCAGATGCCAAAACAACACCCATCTCCACCCAAAAACCGAACCCAAAGCCAGCAGCGAGTCCAGGAGCCAAAGGTCGTTGTAGAACTCGCTGCCCGCGGTGCCACCAAAGATCCATACCCGGCCTCAGCAATGGGCAAAAGACCGGCACACGGCACCATGTGTCAAGTGGGTTTTCAGGCATGGGTTGAGCATGGAGGTTCTATACCACTCCACTCATACAAGGGTATTAGACTTTCTCTCTCTCTCTCTCTCTCTCTGCAATTGAATCCAAAAGGTCCCACTTCGTGGGAGAAATAGACTGCCTTGCAGACTTGATTGCATGTAAGCATCAAACAGCATACCTGCGTGCGCAAACTAACCTAAGCAAACGGAATAAAATTGAATCAATAAACAAGCAGCAAACCCTCCCTCCCCGCCCAAGCAAACCAAATCGAAACAACCCTACACCAAATCGGCAGTGGAAAGTTTGTTGGAGGCCACAATGTTGCCATCGACCCGAATCGCCGTTCTCAAAGAGCGAGGAGTGATAGGACCTGGCGCCCATGGGCGCATCCGCGCGCTGGGCCCAACTGTTGCCGGCGATGTCGAAGGTCCACACGTCGAAGCTCCCACTGTTGCCGCCGGAGAAGAACCACAGCCTCCCCCGACCCAGTGACGTGACCCGAACGTTCAAAAACGGGAACCGACGTTTTGAGGTTGGCCAGCCTTAGGGAACGCACACGCGGGACACATTGTTTTCGGCATGGATCGACCTGGATCCGAAAGGGATCAACCGCCATCCACTTTGAGGATCCGCTTTATCAGGCAACTCTTGGTGGATTTGGATTTGGTACAGGGAGACCAGCCCCGGAAAATCGAACGACCAATCCAAACCAAGTGGAGGAAAGCTGAATTCAGAGAACCCCCCCCTGTGGATTTACCAAACTGAACCAACGCCAATGCCATAAACGCAGCTTTGAGCCCTGGGAAAACGATGCGAGCAACACGTAGCTCGCAGACGTGGACGGCGGCCACCAGCCACCAGCCACCAACAAGGCACCCAAAAAAAACCTACAAAAAACAGCAGCTGCCCAAAAAACATACAAAAAAAACAAGCCAGCAAAAAAACATACCAGCTAGATGGCCACATTCTCACCGGCTGAGTGGATGGCCCAAAAAAAGTCCAAACTTTACGTTGTCCACTAGAATGGTCTTCCCAAAAAGTCTAAAGTTCATGAACTCAGGAAGTGACAATTGCTGTTTTGTTTCAGTTACTGTTGCTGGTTTTTGGGGTAAAGTGGATGGAAAAAATACAGCCACTGGCGATTTCGGACACGGGTAAATGAGGCGAGGGTTTGTCTCGGCTGCCCTTCCATGGACAGGCAAAGTCCCAATCCTTGCACAATGACCGTCGAAGACGGTAAGAAAAAAAACATATCCTGTCGAGGGAGCCCCGGAAATGATCCCAAAACCGTTCCTCCTACAGCCCGAGGGCGCCGAGCCCGGCGCCCCAAAAAAAAGAGAGACCCCGCCGCGCCGGTCCTATCGGCGGGCTCGAAGACGGCGCTGCCGCCGAAGCGGGCGCTGGGGCCAGAGTTCCCGGGCACCACTTGGGTCCAGGACTCGCCCTGATGGCACCCAGTTCCACCCTGAGTTTCCCAGAACGAGGATCTCCGACCCAGTTCCATCTGCCGTCCCTTCCCCCTATTTCCAAATTCACACCATTAATGAATATGTCGTTCTTCCCAGGCCGGATCCCAAATGCTACTTTTGGACTACGCCAATGCGAAACGCCAGACCTGCTAGGTCTCGCGCCAATCCCGACACCAGTCTTGTTCTTGGGGAAATGTCCAGCACTGATTGAATTTCATATTTACATTTGATTCATATATATATATATTTATTTATGTGTTTATTTGTTTATTTCCGCATGTGAAATGCTAAAGTGAAAAAATAAATGTAAATTGTATTTTTGAAACGCAACAGCGAAACAACAAAACACAAGCTTAAACGGTGTTATTACAACTCGTTACTCAGAAACTTGTGATTTGGACGGATTTCGATGGTTTTCGTGTCGGGACAGGATGGGAGCCCATTTGGACGAGGACTGAAGAGGAAATCCGGTCGACCCCTAATTACCCCATTGGAACCACCCTGTCAAGGAAAATAGGTGCATACCTGTTACTCTGGCTTGCCTGGGATCTAGGTGAAAGTTGGCATTCGATGTCACTGGGGGGCCCCTTTGTAGGGAAACACGGTGAGCCCGTTACGGTCTGAAACCCTGGGTCCAGGAGAATTCCCTTGAGAAAACAACAGATAATCCTACTCCGGGCTCTTCATGGAGTGGCAACTCCAACTTTTCAGAGGGATTGGCCAAATCCTTTCGTAGCCGGAAAGGATCTTCCAACAGCCACACGGATTCCGCCGCTTTCCGGTCTAAAAGGTCTAAAAAAAGACCTGGCCACCGGACCGTTTCCCCGTCGCAACGCCCCACCTGGGTGTCATAGGCGAAGAAGTCCCCCACCGACCCAGAAGCCGTGAGGCCCCCGAAGATCCAAACCTGAGGCTAAAAAAACCGGTGACCAGAGCGGATGGCTCCCTTTGAGCGACCGAAACCTGTTGACTTTTGTTTCTACATGAAGCCGGGTACATCCGACCAAACTGGCCAATGGGGTTTTGGGCGCTCAGTTTGGGTTTCCCTGGAACACTCTAGGGGGACACGCCCAGATGGATGCCCGACAAGACAAGCACGGGAAACCCCCACTTGGATGTTCAACTTTAACCACATTGGAAAGTAGGATGGAACCATGATTGCCAGGGTAGCTGGGGTTAGCTCCCTCACAACCGTGGTTGTGTCCTACGAAGTAAATTGAACATTCAAGGGGGACCAGTAGAAACCGTTGAGCCGGCCTGTCTCACACCATTTCTGACATGGTTTCAAAATCGGACCCCACCCACGTTGGAGGTTGGATGGAGACCCAGAAAACCGACCTACTTCAAGAGTCACAAGAGGGCATGAATTCGATTTGGTCGCGGGTGGACCGACAAAAGTCCGGCACCCCAAAGGGCTTCGTCCGGTCTCAACGGATCTGCCTTGAAAAGCCTTGCCTCACCTCTATGCCCTGGGGGGTTCCAAGGCTCTTTTGACAAAAACCTGTACTCGCCTGTACTGTTCCAAAAACTTGTGCCCAGAATGATTGCCCGCCACGTCCATGTTCCTTGCAACGATTCAGGAAAATGGACCATAACAGGGCGTTTGGGTTTGATGCTTTGGCTATTTGGCAGCCAGCGGGCCAGACATCCAGGTACTACTTCCAGCTGCTTAAGCCCCCTGGGAAAATAAAGTACTTCCAGTAGAGATAATTTCCCTTAAACATATCCGTACGCAGGGCACCGGAGGAAATTCGTGCTAGTAGTGTGAGGGCCAGTTATGTTGACCCCAGATTGATAGACCCCTGGTTCTTTAATAATGGATGTGTTTGCTTGGGATTCATGACTCTTAGAGGGAAGCACCACCCACCACCCTCACTCGACCCGCCTTCTTCTGGCCAAAGGCCGCCTGCGCCGCCTGCCGCGCAGAAGGGCCCCCAGCTGCCGAGGCGTTGCGCCATGTGTCGTTCTGCGTGTTGTAGGCCCACACGTCCTGCGAGGAATCCGAGGCTTCCTTGGCTGAATGTAACCTTGATGTTCTGCCACCCTACACTCCTTGAAGTTTGGGAGATACAGTATGACAAGCAGTCGTGAGCAGGTGCTGGCCCGCCCACCAGAAAAGGGAAGGGATCACCCTGAAAGAATGCGCCCCGGTGAAGCATGGATTCCTCCACTCCGGCCCCCTTTGCGGGGGCGACACAAAGAAGCCAACAAAACACACCAAACCCCGAGGAAGCTGCAACCAAAACACGCAAAAACAAAAAACACTATTAGGTTCGTCTGCCAACTCTGAGTTAGACTTTTTCAAAGGAATCCGTCAAAGTACCTTCATGGAACCCAATTCGAA